ACACTTGCAATTTTTCCCATGCTTATAAGTTTTGGACTTTTATCTACTGCCATTTAATTTTACCTAATTTCACGAAAATTGGTACTTTAAATAATAGTTTTTTCCTTCAATGTCCTGACATAGCTGATCATGAATCACACGGCCAGTATGATACAATGTTTATCTTGGATTGATTCCCTTATTGTTAGTTTGTTTTCATTTTTATTGATGCCTATATCATTATAGGCCTGGGACTGGAGGCCTACAGCTTACAACTAGCCCCTGGATCCATTCACTTGATTTGATTTGTATGTTTGTTGTTTATTGTTTATTGTTTGAATTGTATCTATCTTGTTGGAATGTTTGTTTATTGAAGATTTGAAAATTGATATTTGACCGGTACTCCTGAATTATATTCTGTCAGCAGTTCAAGTTTTCCAAGCTAATATGGAATTTGAAAGAGGTATTAATAAATAATGTCTGATTGATTATATTATTAGCATGCATCAAATTTTGATTTCCAAACCTGATTCCTTCGATAGAAACTCTCTCTCTCTATCGCTCACTCGTCCAGAAAATAAGGCCAGATATAAAAATTGGTCTGTTTTGTTTGACCTTACAACATACAATTCCATCCATTTATCGTTATATATCTTGTTATTTTACAAACATATTATTTATCTCAATAATTAGGTAATAGCTGCTGATTGTAAATTTTCTCACAGTATTGGACATTTTTCTCACAGTTTTCTCACAGTATTGGACATAATTCTCACAGTATTGGACATTTTTCTCACAGTAAAGAATAATATTTCTTACAGTATTGGACATTTTTCTCACCGTATAGAATATTTTTTTCAGTGTCAAACATTTTTCTCACAGTGTCAAACATTTTTCTCACTGTTATCGAATCTTCTTTTTAGTAGTATCAAAACTTTTATGTGGATAGTTGATGTATTTTCAATTTATAGTATTATATCTAAAAGGAATCGAACCATTTTTGACAGCTTAATCCACTCTAAAAATGTACTGAGATTGATTATGTAACAATTAGATAATGTCCGGTGGCTCTGGCTTGTTTGTATTGTTTACAGAAGCTTCCAGATATTGCGAGAGCTTTGAGCAAACATTACATCCTGTTTTTTATGTCATCTACAGCGATGGCGTGGTTTTGAATCCCTGGTTGTACGTTACAAGGAGTAGGGTCGCCTGTCCAACCTCGTGGGTTTTCTCCGGGTCCTCCGGTTTCCTCCCACTGCTAAAGACCCCTACACGCAAGCAAATTATTTAAATAATATTAAAACATATGTTAGTCCCGAAATGACCTAGTGAAATGACCTAGTTGTGTCCAGTGGGTTAAACCCCATTTCTTTCTTTCTCTCTCTCTCTCTCTCTCTCTTTCTCATCTACAGCGGATACTGTATGTTAAAAAATTTTCAATTCATCATATCACTATAAATACTGAACAGATCTATATTTATTACATCTCACAGTTCTCCAACTAAACTGCACTATTATATTTATACAATTTCGGAATACAGAAAGGACGTTTGTAAGTTTTAATAACTTTTGTCTAATCCAATTGTATCATTAATTATTTTCATTGATGCAATAAAATATGTTTAAACCAACTACTGAACAGAATTGAACCAATTTTGGGTCGATATTCCTTTTAGAACCCCCACTTTGATAATAGTGCTGTTTGCCAGGGATTCAAAATCCTACTCATGAGAATCAGAGACTTTATCTATTGTTGTAACTGTTTTGTTTTTGGTCTTCACCACTTATATAAATTTTACTATATATTTTTATCATGTCTGTTATTATAATTTTAAACTAGGGCTTCCATTGTAAATAGATACATGATGTATGCCTACATGTATTAACACATATTAATGTCTCAATATATTATTATTAAAGATGCATTAGGCAAGATCTAAAGGAGCCTATTGCAGATCTTTTCTGGCTTCAAACATTATATAATTTATCCACATGACAAGCCCATAATTATCTCTTTAGACCACTGGATGGCTGAGATATTCAATGGATTGGACCAAATGGATGTCACTCAATAGAGAGAGAGAGAGAAATGGGGTTTAACGTCCACTCGACAAACTAGGTCATTTCGGGACTAACATGGTTTAATTTTATTTCAATAATTCGCTTGCGTGTAGGGGTCTTTAGCAGTCGGAGGACCTGGAGAAAACCCACGTGGTTGGACAGTCGACCTTGTCGCTCAATAGAAGGACTGACTTTGATTATTATCAATGTAATGGTACTATGTCTTGTAAAAACTTCAAACACACATAACTTCACTCAGAATAAAGTAATTGACTGAAATTTTCAATATATTCATTTTTCGTTAACTATTATAACAAGAAGGGCCATCTCTTTATCTAAATCTCTTCGATACACTGCTTGCACATGATAAGGAGTAGGGTCGCCTGTCCAAACTCGTGGGTTTTCTCTGGGTGCTCCGGTTTCCTCCGGGGGGGTTGGATGGCTGAATGATTAGCGTGCGCGCGCTGTATTATAAAGTCTGTCATTGAGTCGACTGGCGTGGTTTTGAATCCCCGGTTGTACGTGGCAAGGAGAAGCGTCGCCTGTCCAACCTCGTGGGTTTTCTCCGGGTCCTCCGGTTTCCTCCCACTGCTAAAGACCCCTACGTGCAAGCGAATTATGTAAATAAAATTAAACCATATGTTAGTCCCGAAATGACCTAGTTTGTGTCGAGTGGACGTTAAACCCCATTTCTTCCTCTCTCTCTCTCCGGTTTCCTCCCACTGCTAAAGACCCTTACGCGCAAGCAAATTATTGAAATAAAGTTGAACCATATGTTAATCCTGAAATGACCTAGTTTGTGTTGAGTGGATGTTAAACCCCATTTCTCTATATCTGTTCTCTAAATCTTACATAATGCATCTTTAGCACTTATTTGTCTCAATAACATTGTTTACTATAATCACGTTAACATAAGGTGTATTGGAAATATTAGCTTACACAAGTATATATCTGTTAAATTACATATTAACTGTATAAATGAGTTTGTAAAATAAAAATAACAAACATTGGGGTTTCTTTATTGGGTGTGTGGGTGGGGGGAGGGTGGGGTAGTTGATCTTTTTTAGGGTTTTGTTGTTGGGTTGGGGTAGTCGACCGGTCAGGGAAGACTAAAATGTACATTGAGGTTTCGTTGTTGGGATGGGGTAGTCGGTCTGTAAGGGCAGACTAAAATGTATCTTTTTGGGGGTTTTGTTGTTGGGGTGGGATAGTCGATCTGTAAGGGCACACTAAAATATATCTTTTTTAGGGTTTTGTTGTTGGGGTGGGGTAGTCGATAGGTCAGAGCAGACTAAAATGTACCTTGTTTGAGGTTTCGTTGTTGGGGTGGGGTAGTCGATCGGTCAGGGCAGACTAAAATGTACGTTGTTGGGGTGGCATAGTCGATCAATCAGGACAGACTAAAATGTACATTGTTGGGGGGTTGGATGGCTGAATGGTTAGCACGTGCGCGCTGTATCATAAAGCCTGTCCAACCTCGTAGGTTTTCTCTGGGTCCTCCGGTTTCCTTCCACTGCTAAAGACCCCTACGTGCAAGCGAATTATGGAAATAAAATTGAACCATATGTTGGTCACGAAATGACCTAGTTTGTGTCGTGGACGTTAAACCCCATCTCTCTCTCTCTCTCTCTCATGTACATTGTTTGAAGTTTCATTATTGGGGTGGGTAGTCCATCGATAAAAGCAAACTAAAATGTACCTTGTTTGAGGTTTTGCCGTGGGCGTGGAGGAGGCTGCAGTAGTAGATCGGTAAGTGAAGTGGTCTCACGATTTAAGCGTTTGAATCTCAGTGTTGGCCAAAGTGACCATTCACCTGTGGGATGTTCAAGGTGAGTGTGACTAGTTGTCAGGATGTTATGAAAAACCAAGGTCCACCCTGTGTACAATGTTAAGGTAACAATCAAAGAAGGGGATGAAGAAAAAACTTTGTTGGGCAAAATGCATTTACCTGAACAGTAGTCATAGAAATGAAAAAAAATACAATTATTTTGTCTCAAAATGACCAAAGAAACATATTCAAACTAATTTATCAAACATTTGGTTCAGATCCCTCTCAAAACATTTTAATTTGAAGAAACCTGTAAATTCTATTTTGTATCTGACTTCATTGAGAGGAGGGTCAATTTTATTGTTATACAGATTTTGCCTCCCCTAGCAAATGGCTCGAGATCGATTCTATAGTGGGTTCCCAAACAGTCCAAAATTTTTATATCCTCCTTCCCTCAAAACTTAGTAATATAAATATTTTTTTTTTTTTTTTTTTTTTTCTGCCCGATCAGCTTTAGGAGTAGGGGGCAGAATTGATGTACCCGAAAATATTTCAGTCGCGGACCCTGAAGCCACGAATTAAGTCGTTAGTGGGACAGAACAACTCTGATCAGCATGGATCCTAACAACAATTTGAACATTTTTGGGTATGCGATGCTACTAATTCGCGCCATTTTACATTTTGGAGCCTTAGTGGCTCAGTGTATGTGGCGCTGGCTCAATAATCAGGTCTCTAGTTCGCTCCCGCAGGCGTGGTTTTCCCGTGTCAGATGGTACGAAAACACAGGGTGTCATGTATAGGCTGGTCTACACGCAAACGAACCATAGACAGTTGGAATTCGAAGCAAAAGTAGCCCACGGGACCGCTGTTTGTACAAAATTTCACCTATAGCGTATTGCGTGGCATATTCCAGTCTTCATTAGTGGTTAGTGCTAAATGATAAGGCCAGCTCAATTTTTCGTCATAGGTCACGAGATCTAAACAGGACTAGCGCTAATCCTAACCCTAACCCTGGACCTAGCCCCAAATAGATCTAACCTCATTAACCCAGTTGGTACAGACAAATGGGACGTTAAACCCCATTTCATTTTGTTATTTTACATTTTCGCAATTTGAGTGATTCAGGACAGTATGTAACCTATTCCAGACACGTTCTTGAAAAATAAATTAACAATTCAGATCGAAAACATTTTACAATAATTTAATATTTTACTTACATTAAAATATAATAAATATGTTACTTACATAAATATTTTACATAACAATAAATTACCGATAAATAACATGATATTCACATTTACTTGTAGCCAGGAATTTAAAACTGAAATCCGTTCGTTTTGGATTGGATACTGGCAGGAATAAAGATCAATTTCAAATATATAAATTTCAAAATAGCCGGCGTCGCGGCCAATACTCTAATCCCTGTAGTCACAATAAGTCAACACTTAACAGTTAGTCGGCACGCCAATGTTTCGTTGAGTTGTATTTTTGTTCTCACTAATTGCGAGTATAAAGAGGTTAGGGTATTTACAACGACGCGGTGTCTTCGAGTGCCAATATATTATAATGTCAAATGGCATAAGATCTACAGATCAGTAATATACTTTTAATAATGAAGTCACGGGTTCGATCCCGGTGTTGGTCGAGAAAGATCCTCACGATTTTCAAGACCGGTTTGTCCTTATCCGTGATGCAGAACTTGGAGGTGGGAGAGAGCTTAAAATGTGTCTTGTTGTTCGGATGAAACCAGAAACCAAGGTACCGCGTTTAAAGAGAGAGAGAGAGAGAGAGAGAGAGAGAAATGGGATTTAACGTCCACTCAACACAAACTAGGTCACTTCGGGACTAACACATGGTTCAATTTTATTTCAATAATTCGCTTGCGCATAGGGGGAGGAAACCGGAGGACCCGGAGAAAACCCACGAGTTTGGACAGGCGACCCGTATCGCGTTTAAACACTGACTTGCACATATAAGAACACTTGCCAGAGTAGGCGGGAACTTCATGAGGTATGTTGGTCGCCATTAGCCCGGTTGGTAGCGCAAACTATGAAGTTAAACCCCATTTTATTTCATTTATATTTCGTAATATAGGAATACGATTTCGCAACACAATGAAAACACCACTACACAAATAATAATAATATTAGCATAATTTGTGAAGGATTGCTTAAAACAACCAATACCAAAAACAAAGCATTAAATCATTTATAAAATTCGAAAAAAAAACCAATGATATTACTACTATAACATGTAGCATTCAAAAGGCGGAAATTCGGCAGATTAAAAAAAAATACATCAACGAAATATAAACAAAGAATATCTCTAGGTCCTGTCGACAGTTTCGATGGGTGTTAAACCTTTAGCTGGGTTTCCGAATGAATTTTGAACATGATAAGTACGACCCGTAGTGGTTCGTCCAGAATAAGGTATGGTGGATTGCGGGTGGATAGCAGTCGGTTTCTCCATTACGGTATACGTCATGGGCACCTGCATGTTGACTCGGTGTCGGGGTTGCTCCCAAGGCCATGGTGGTCGGCTCAAGGGCTGATTTCTTGGGGTGTTGACACTTTCTGACGTCCAATCAGGGTTGATGACGAAACATGACCTTGATCTTCTTACGTTCTGTAAAATAAAAAAAATATAAATTTTTAGAGGGTAAAACCTCTGACTGGCACCTGAAAATGTCTAATCACACGGTTTTTCTATTGCCCTCCTACCTCTAAAACGCCCATAACCTGTGTGGAAATGACTTTCAACGGGGGAAGGGGTGGGGGTGTAATATTTTATAACGATGCAAGATTTTCACCTTAAAACACAAATCAACACAAAATATCTGGTCAAGTCAAAATTTTTGTTTCTACAAATTAATTAATTAATGTGCATGTAAAACTGGTATGAGAATCGCCAAATGCGGTTCATTAAATTTGCAGACGGGTGCATGACCATGGTTTAATTTTCGCTGATTGGCCACCGGCGATAAATAATCGTGATGAAATGAAAATGAAGTTTAACTTCATGTAAATGAAAAAAAATGAAATGAAATGTTGTTTAACGTCCTACCGTTCTGCTCCGACTGGGCTAATGAAGACGGGCATACACCGTGCAGTGTGCTATGAGGAAAATTTTGCCCGGACAGCGCCGCTACGGCCTACCCTAATTCCAACAGCTAAGGGATCTTTTTACGTGCACGCCACTGTGTACACGGGGTGACGGGATCTCGGTTTTTCGTACCATCCGAATGACTAGACAGCTGTCCTTGTCAGGCCATCCATAATAAAAATGGGTATACGCCATACAGTGTACTGTGGGGGGGGGGGGCGGTCGACATTACTCTAAATTGTTCGTCCGACACCGGGATTGAACCAGGGACACACTGGATGGGGACACAATACCAGAATCACTAAACCACACTGAAAACTCCACGACAGATAATGCGTGTGCGTTGCATCAGAAGGTCTGTCATTAAGTCAAGTGGCGTGGTTTCGATTCGACATTCGTACGTGACAAGGAGTAGGGTGGCCTGTGGGTAAGGGTCTGACTTAATAAGCAGTATTTCCGGGGTTCGATTCCAAGGATATTCCGGCGTGGTTTCCCCTTGTTTGGGATGCAAGACGGGGGCCTGGCAATGGAAGGTGTCTAATCGTACGTATGGGACGAAAAACACAGTTCCATTGGCAGTTGGAATTCGAAATAAAACTAACAGGTCGTTGTCCCGCTGTCCGCTGTATGACGTATGCCTGACTTCATTAGCCCGATCGGCGCAGGCAAATCGGACCTCAAACCTCATTTTATTTCATTTCAGATATCTCTATTTTTTCTCCGCCCGCATAATACAATACAATCTAAACAATAAAATTAATTATTTCATTCAGTTTAGGTGTCTCGATTCATGACACAGAGCTGAGTCTTTTTGAATGAATACAATTATTCAGACAGCACGATTGTTATTCATAGTATGAAATATGAAATATATTTTGTTATTTTAATATTGATTAAATGCTAAATACCTGAATATGTAACACATGTTATATTCTCCTATATGCTTTATTAATTAAGTATTGGCCATGTTTATATAATTGGTTTTATACGGGTGTCGCAATTTGACTTTATATTAAAGATACATTATGGGAGATAAGATAAAGAGCTGGTAGTTCTCACCATAATAGTTAAAAACTAGATAATATAAAGGGAATTTGCTGAAAATTTCAATCAAATTGATGGCTAGTGATGCCATTGAGAGTTGATTATGGTCAGGATAAGTTCATTAATTTCTAATTAATAATTTAGATAACATTTTAGGCTTAAAGAAAGACCGGCAATTTTATTGGCAAATTTAGATCTTGCATAAGGTATGTTTAAGTTAAATTATTTTGATATCTATGAAATGAATTGAAATGGGGTTTAACATCCTACTGTTCTGCCATGCAGTGTGCTATGAGGGACATTTGCCCTGGCAGCGGCAATATGGCCTACTCTTATATCGAATTCCAACTGCCAAGGGACCTTTTACGTGCATGTCAATGTATACACGGGACATCGGTTTGTCGTCCCTTCCGAACGACTAGACAGCTGTCCATGTCAGGCCCTCCGTCCAGCATCACTGACAAGGGGGCACAACGTCGGAATGTCCCGATGAAATTTCAGGCTAGGGAGCCAGCGTCTTACCCACTTAGCCACCGTGGCTCTATATTGCTTGCAATGTCCGTGTAATTTGTGTGTTTAATGGGTTTTATTTGTGTGTGTGTGTGGCCTTCTTGATCTTACTATATTAATCAACAATACATTAAAGGAAAATATTGGTGCCAGTCATTATCAAAGATGTGATAGAGCTGGTTAAACACATTCCAAATATAATTTTAACACGGAGATCATTGCTACGATAGCTGAGTAATACAGGTTTCCTGAATCGGAAGTGACGAACGCCAAAGGAAAACACGAGTCATACCTCTATATAACTGACTGATGTGACGAGTGATAACAGATACACGGCCGAATTTCTGCTCACTAATAATTCCTTCCAAGACCAAGAGTGCGGTTTAACTTTACGTCAACACGATACTTAGGTCATTTTTAGACTAACATATTAAGGGTAAACCTTTTCTATGGAAACGTATACAGGGGATAAGAATTTTGACCTGGGAGAGTTATAGCGAGTGCCCTTTAGATTATAAGGTCTGTCAATGAGTAAGTGCTGTGGTTTCGATGCAATAATTGCACGTGACAACGAGTAGGGTTGCCTGTCTTATCTCGTGTGTGTAGGTTTTCCGTGTTCCCCGGTTTCCTCCCTCTGCTAAAGACCCCCTACGCGCATTGCATCATGTTATTCCCGATATGACATAGTTTGTGTTGAGTGGGCGTTAGTCTTCCGCTCTTGAAGTTTTGACCAGATATGGGTTAAAAAGGTGCTAACTAGTGCTAATATTGGTTGATTTCAAACTGTCAATATGAAACTTACCCCAAACATACTGCCTTGGTGATGGTTGTCATAGTGACGTGGAGTCAATTCACTTAAAATAGAAATAAAAATAACAGTTTATATGTTTAAATTAGGATCTGTTTCCGTACAAATGGTAATCTTCTTGACGTTCTTCTACTTGAGACAATTAATTGTATGCCATTTGCAAAAGAAAAGGTTGTATTGCCGCTGTCCGGGCAAAATTTCCCTCATAACACACTGCATTGCGTAAACCCATCTTCAACAGAAAGGACAGTTGGTGGGGACACGTAAGATCTTTATAAACACCATATCATTTCATTTCATATAATTTTAAAAATATATATATAAATTAAGTAATCGCAGTTAAGAAAACAGAACTCTATGCAGGTGACGTTATAATTATCAAAAGTTTAACAATCCAATTACGCTCAATACAATTTTAAAATTTACTATTAGGCCAGTTGATCAATCGGAGCTTTAAACAATTGACATCTGATCAGAAACAAGTTAACTTATTGGAGGACAGTAAAACATTCACGCGAATTTAACAATAATTGTTTTCTGAAAATCTTGCACCTGACGAAGCTGTCAGTACTGTAGGCAATGGTGTTATTTCTTTTGTTAGAAGATAGCTAATTTTGCCCCAAATATATATTTTTACATTCGCTGAGGCCCCAATGTAGATTCTCGTCCAAGCATTACTCCATCGAAGGAAACGACACAAAGAAAAGAAAATACTCACTCTGCAATGGCAGATTTATCCGTTCTAGGAGTTGTCCAGGGTTTAGACATTTCTGTAACTTTTTAATTAACACAACTATATATCCAGTAACTACCGAGTGCAGCCAATATTCCCAGTAGACTTTAAGACATACGTGCTTTGTTTTTTTGTAAAATAGTTTCAGATAGCAACACGAGCCGTGATCATCAACCCTAAGCGTTGTCTTTTCTTCTAATGGCTATACACAAACTGTGACATCCAAATATATAATAAACTTTCTAATTAACAAGTTACCGCGTAAGATTTACCAGCCTCTTTTTCGCCGATTGTTAAGTGCTGTTTTGCGACTTGTATAATCGGGATCATGGTACCGTCTGTTACTAATGGTGTCACGTGACGAGAAAGTTATATTAATCGTATACAAAATAACATCGATCTATGGCAATATAAGTATACTAATTGTGAATAATGTGCAGTAACAAAAGAAATCTATGGTCTTATTAAGATGTTATATAAGCACAATCTAACTAGGATTATCTGCTTAATCTCTAGCGATAATCTCACTAATCTATATGGCCCTCGTAATTAATTTATCAACGAAACGCCTGGGATTTAATTAACTAATTAATAATAAAATATTTGTATCTTAAAATTCAAACACAATTATTGTTTCTATTCTAGCGTTATGAGGGTTGGCTGAAATGTTCTAAGCCTGAAAAGGTTAAAACAATTGGGTTGAAACAAACTAATGCCACCAACAAGTACAATCATTTAATGAATAATAACCATAAGAACTGCAACTGTAGCGGTATTATTGTCTTCGTATACCAGACCATCTTGTGAACCTACCCATTAAAAGCACCAGAAACGGGCAAAACCGGCTATAGGACAGTCATCCATCAAGTACCCACCACTGAAGGAACTAACCCCAACACAGATGATGCTCTTCATTTTCCACCGTAAAGAGGTGATCTGCGGAATTTAAGCGTGGCAGGGCAGAGAGCCTTGCCAATAACCAGCATCCTGGAAGGCTATTTTCAGCACCCATTAAGGAAAACATTACCAAAGTGCATGACATGGTGATGACTGATCGACGATGGATCACTCGACACCTTCCCGGTGCTGTGGGCAGCTCTCGCTAGAGAATTAAGCACATTTTCGCCAACGAGTCAGGAATGAAGCAAGTTTCTGAAAGATGGGTAATTCTTGCATCGTGAAATCATGCTGAAAATGATCGAAAGTAATAAACCTTTCAATAAATATGTAAACTTGCTAAATTCACCTTTCTTCTTTGTGACCCCGGTGGTCAAAGGTTTAAATTTTCCGTTAATAATAGTAATGATGACTTCTTATCAGCTCTAAACGACTCTTATAGGGTGACGATAATATTCTTTAAGTGACATTTAATAACTGGGCAGATAAATAAACTATAAACATACATAAGGAAAAACGCAAAAGGAAAACACGAGTTATCCTTTTATATAACTGACTGAAGTGACGAGTCATAACAGATACACGGGCGAATTTTTGTTCACTAATAATTCCTTCGAAGACCAAAAGTTGTTAAGTGAGACTGTGAGAGAATATCCGACAATTCAAAAAGGTTATTGAATGTCACTAGATAAGAGAACACGAGAAAAATAGAAATAGTCCGTAAATTCACTTGTTATTATTCATTCTATACTTAAACATACATTATGCAAGAGCTAAATCTACCTTTTGCAAGTCTTTGTTTGGGACTGAAATGTTATCTAAATTATTAATTAGACATTAATTAACTTATCCAGACCATAATCAACTCTCGATGGCATCGTTAGCCTGCGATGTTTATTGGATTCGGTTCCGATTGGCTGTTCGACTTCCATTCATAATTTAATCATGAAAGGGATAATCGAGACTATGTTTTTTTATGCTACCGACATTAGTAATGATGATCGAGGCTAGACCAAAAATTCAATCGCTAAAATCTCGGTTCATAGTGGATTAATTTGACTGAGGCAGTTAATTGATCATTGGAAATAGTTTATGCACAACGTGAAGGTTCGTGATTAGATAGTCACATCTGTCCCCGTGGTGTCACATGGGCCTTATTGTTTGGTACCGCGAGACACGATAGTGTCACATTGGGCTGCAACAGAATTGTGCGTCTGGGTCAATGAAGACCGGCATTTTGGGGAAAATTTTGTCCAGACAAAGCCGCTACATCATTTTCTTATTTCGAATTCCAACTTGAAGGTTTCTTTTACTTGCATGCCAATGTGTACACGGGGCCTTTGTTTCTCGCCACATCCGAACGACTAAACGTTGTCTCTTGCAAAGCCCCCACCTCCCTTCTCCCCGTCCTGCAACACTGACAATGGGAAACCATGAAGGAAAATCCCGATGAATTTTCTCGACCAACATCGGGATCGAACAGGTTAGCGAGCTAACGTCTTACTCACTAACAGCTAAACTTGCATAATGCACGGCCTTTTGCTAACTTCAAATGTTATATGAATTAGTATATATTTTCTAACATGAAAAACCCATAATCAACTCTTTAGATCATCGGGTGACTTAGATATTGAGTGAATTAGACAATACTCGCCATATACCTACATAGGCTACACACTGAGACTGTCGATAAATAAAAGGCCCGTCATTAGAGGTCTATATAACTGTCTATTCATATATATTAAAAGTCTTATTTGGATTAAAAGTAATACAAATTTAATTGCATCTGCTGTCTGACAGCCGATAAAAATATTATCATTCATTTTACATTATCTATTTTATTTTATTTATTTTTTGAATTATTATATCAAGAACTACCAGCTCTTTCTAAATCGCGCATTATGTATCCTTAATTATATTGTGTTATACCAAGGGTTTTACCAGTTTGTTTTTGACTGCGTGTCGTATTATATTTTAATTCTATACTTGCATGTTTCCCCACTTCAACCGACTTTTACCATTTTTTTTCCTTGTAAGGCTTTTATTTCATTTCATTGTCCAGATTGAATACATTTTTAAAATATTAATCATGAAAATTGTAATTCGTCTATTTATGGCAATTCTCTCTCTGTCTCTTTTCTCCCCTTTGAATGTCCATTTTTCTTGATTTTTCGGTCTAGAATGGACGAAGACAGTTTGAATTCACATTTTCTGCCAGGTTTTGGTAAATATTCATGATTTTGAGGCGGAAGGATAACGGGGTTATCAGGTTGGCTACGGTGATATGTACGGCAACTAGTTACATGTTTTTAGTATGCTTCTTCATGTTTGTGTATCTCAAAATTTTGGTGGTCAACAACATACAAATTTTTGTTCAAAGACATGACCATTGGTTCCTCTGTCTGTAGTGAAAAGCATTCAGCCCAACGAAAATTTTGGGAAAAGTTGGAGGTGGGCAAAGAGGCCAGAATTATTATTAAAGTCAATGGGGGAAATTAATGGTGGTCTGCTTCCAACCACCTTATACTAGTTATCCCCCTTTAACTAACAGGTGCCCGTTCTTCTCCGCTAGGGGGGAAAGCGTCAGTAATAACTTCCGGAAGTTTTGTCGCGAGTCACTGAAATTGTCAAAATAAGCGATTTAATTGTTAAATATTATAGTATTGACCTGATCTATTCCAGCTAAATTAAATCATGTTGTTAAATAAGTAATCGCACTTTCAGAAATTGGAAGAATACAGAGTATTCCTGTGGGTTTTCATCTGTCTTATAGAGGATTTCTTTTTGTAAACAAACATCCGTCGATTGCTTAATATCTGTTATTGACGTCAGTCGTCAGTGACATTTTAGAAAAAAAAAGACAAAATGGAAAAAGCTGCTAAAGCAGTTAGAAGGTATGCTGTATTGATTTTTGTTTACAAAATTATAGTTGAATTTTGTTCTAAAATTGGATATTATATGGTTTTTTTTTTTTGCTTGTCACTAAAATGTTAATAATTTAAAATAATGTTCCTTTACAGATTACATGTCATTTCGGTCCCGTGTCATTTCGGACTTAAAACATTTCGGACTCAAAAAAATATGGCCTTGACGTTTTGGACTCGACCAGGTGACATTTCGGACTCGGGTAGTTGACGTTTCGGACTGGAGGAAAAGTTAAAATGAATGGTTGAACACAACTGTCAAATCAATCCATAATAAACCAAAAGCGATTTTATAAAAGATAACATGCAGGTAAAATTTTGTGCCCCCAATCAAGTACAACACGATGAAAGTGTGGATCACTGATCACTCACCGTATAGATCTCTCAAGGAACTGCAAAATTTTCAATGTTGAATGTTTATAAAAAGAATGTTTTATTTTTTTAATATCTGTAATATGTATATAAAAAGTAGCTGATGAATTTATTAGAAATAGGCCAATTCAAAACACAAAAGAAAATTATTAACATGAAACACATGGTTATTAAAAGACTCTACCAAACGATAAAACATAGTTGCACTTAAGGTTCTTTATCATCGTTTCTCATAAAAGTAATTTACTTTTTTAAAAAAGAATAATATGCTGTAGAATTTATTTCAAAATGACCTACACAAAAAACAAAAGTAAATATTTACTTGACATGCACTGTTTTTAGTTTTTACAAGTCCCTAGAATTTTTAAACGATAATCCTTAAGCTACATGTTGACATGCATTCCTCGACAAGCTTGCCATAGATAGCAGTACCAATCGATAAACTCAAAGAAAACTCTTTTTGGAAAATATTAGGAATGGCAACAATCAAAGTGGGATAATTAAAGCTGATTAACCGATAATCCCTATGTTATTGTAGTGTGCGCAAAGAAACCTAACAGTTCTTTAGTGGACGAGGAAAAACGTGAGTTGTCAATCAGCGATAATGGTGGCCGTGTGTTGATTCGTTTATTTCGATTCACATAAAAGACATTTAGGCTTTTACAATTATAAAAACATTAGCAGTATTGCCAAATATACACAAATCTTGAACAATATTTTATTGTCAAGTTCAACATTCGCCGATGAAACAAAACAAAATAGAACAAGCAGTGTAAAATCAGTTTTATCCTTTTATTAGCGGCCTCGAGAATTGCTGATAATTAAATAAAACAAAACAACCATCGGACTCACATCAAACGAAAAAAAAAACCCAGCTGTTACAAATATATCACATAAATTTTCAACAGTCTTTTTAATTATTCATCCGAGTCCGAAATGTCACCAGACCCGAGTCCGAAAAGTCGTCAAGTAAGTCCGAACCGTCGTCAAACTGAGCTCGAAAGGTCGTCTGTGTTAAGTCCGAAATGACGCAGGACCGAAATGATGTGTTACCCCTTTACATTGTACGGGTGTTCATAGGGACTGACACACGACTGTTTAGCAGTGAAAAGTTGCCAAGTAAAATTGACTGGGAAGCGAAAGTGTTTCAACAAGGAGTTAATAGGACGGTTCCTGAACATATAGGGCAAGTGTAATGAGACCTACGTTCAGAGCTGAACTAACCAAATTTCAGCTTGTTATTGGTCAATAACTTTTTTGTTGTACAGAACATATTTGATTATGATATACTTTCAATATTTCGTAAAAAAAAATTTCAAGACCACAATTGTTTATTTACTGTTTAGATTCAAATATCAAGACACTAAGATGGCTTCCTGACCTTCCTCGCCAACGCGCCAGTTAATGATAATAATAATTTTTCGCTGGGGTAGCCACTTGACTCAATATTCCATTCACTTGATGGTCCTTGTGTTATATAGAAGGTTGGCTGACCCGTTAACCTAACAGCCTGTTATTCCGATCATCCCTGAGTACGACAGTCTGATAATCAAATGCTTCCTTATTCATTTGGTAGACAGTTAATGGCCTGTTCTTCTGATTGTCCTTTAGTAAGAGAGTCTATCATTCCGATATTATGTTAGATCCTGGGTTTTGTAGACTAGTTACTGGCTTTACAATACCTTGATAGGTGATTTGGTAACTGTCTGTACATGTAAATCTATTAACCCATCATTCAGATTCTCCTTTGATGCAGCTATATTCTCATAGTACTTATATGTAAATATTTATATGTTCTTTAGGAGCAGTGCTCGATTGTTATCATTTGGTGCTGGTCACAGTGATTTAAATGTTTTGATATCAGAATTAAAAGACATGAGGAATAGCCAGAAAGCTTACGCTAATTCTCAAACATCAGGTAATGTTAATCAAATCCCATTTCAATGTCTAGTCGTTTGAATGGGATAAAAAAATATAAGTCTGTACATGTTGGCATGCAGATAAAAGAACCCTTTACAGTTGGAATTCAATGAAGACTGCCTGCAGTACATATGCCCATCTTCATTAGCTACTGTAGTGCAGAAAAGTGGGACATTAAAACTTCCATTTGACAGTAGTTTTGTGAGCATATCAGTGCATCAGTTTTTCTCTCAGTGTGGGCTGCCAAGAAAAGTTTATCTAGTATTTCCTGATGGGACAGAAAACCAAGGTCAACCTGTGTACACAGTAGGGTGCCAGGTCCACTTAAAAAAATGATCACATTTGGAATTCAATGAAGAGTTGACAGTATCTCTCCACTATCATGTGATCATAGAAAATAATAACTGTTAGTCTCAGAATGACCAAAGTATTGTACTGACGAGTTTAACCCATATCCTATCTTGTTATTGAAACCATGTACACATTTAAAACCTTTTCAATGCCCGACAGAAATGAAATGGGGTTTAATGTCCTACTGTTCTGCTCCTAACCTGGGCTAATGAAGACGGACATATGCCATACAGTTTGCTATGAGGGAAATTTTGCCTGGGCAGCGGCGCTACGGTCTACTCTTATATCGAATTCCAACTGCCAAGGGATCTTTTACGTGTACACCAATGTGTACACGGGACCTCGTTTTTTCGTCCCATTCGAACGACTAGACAGCTGTCCTTGTCAGGCCCTCCATTTTGCATCACTGACAAGGGGGAAACCACGCCGGAAAATCTTAATGAACTTTCTCGGCCAATGCAGGGATCGAACACCCGACCTCCAGGCTTACCCGCTTAGCCACGTGATCCCCAATGCCCGACAGAGTTATGTTATAATTGAAAGTGAGTTATTAGAACCCAGCATTTACTTTCATGTATAAAAACACCTGCTAAATCTTATTGAAACAGTGTAATAAACAATTCATTAATTTTCTCATAGTATATTATAAGTCAGTTGCTGAATGCCTCTCAAAGATTATGAAATGTTCTGTGAGTGATCGATCACATCATTACCTACATGTAGTTAATAGTTTGTATTAGCAAGAAAGACGTGTTCAAAATAATCTGTTACGGAAAATGAAATAAAATAATCTTCTGATAAAAAAAAGTAATTACCAAAGGTCAATTCTGTGATATTAGTAGGACATAGAGAATGAACCACAATAAAATAAATGGTTAATTTCCGATTTTTTTTCAGCCTGTCAGGATTTCCTCAAATGGTCAACAAATGCTGAAAATAGAGCACTACAGGTTCGTATTGCATTGTGTTCTAACATTTTATATATTTTGAATATACTTTCATTTCACTCAAATCTAGTTAAATAAAGTAGATAGACATATACAGTATATACCTACTTCTATCTCTTGATGGTAAATCAAGGGATGTCACTGCTGTGCTAGGCTATTGTTTTTGGATGTAGACCACCATTCATCGGCAAGGTTATTGAAAGAGTCATTGCTTCTCAAATTTCAAATTATCTGTCTGAAAACGGTTTACACGAATCACTTCAATCAGCTTACAAACGAGGTCACAGTACAGAGATGGCTCTACTTAAAATTAAAAACGATATTTACCTGGCACTGGATAGGAATCCAGTAGAAGTGGTACAAGGGTTAATCAGCGAACTGGATGTATGAGATGTGTTGTTGACGTTTGGGAAAGTAGGACGAGGGGAAATGTGTAGGGAGTGAAGTGCTGTAAAGGGATAGTTAGATGTATTATGAATGGTTAGAGTGGCTGTGGTGTTACGGTGAAATACTATGCCGCCACCGTAACACCACAGCTTTATGATTTGTTAGACAGGAGTGATGTAATGGGTGTCAACAACTGGGTATGCTGGTACCGTCGCAACGTAGCCGTGAAATATATATTGTGGGGGGGGGGCGGATACAGAAAAAATATACAATGTTGACAGTTTGTGCCAGGCATGAGGCTGCGCAGATCGAGCGGCAGCTCGATAGGGAGTGTGTCAGTTTTCTGTAAGCAGTGAAAACACTATTTTGGCATTGTTTGCGGGGTTAAACCTAAAAATCACATTAATAAACCTATTGCACGATATTGTGAAACTAGCTGACGAAGACAGCTCGGGCGGCGATTGTTCGACTCGGGGCTGCTCTGTCAGTATCTAACAAACGCATTAAGGTCGTGTACAACTTTTAAAAACCGAATGTCAGTATGGTATTTCTCACATAATTGGTTATCGCAAAAACAGAGTAAACTCGCCATCGTAACACCACAGCTTTATGATTTGTTAGACAGGAGTGATGTAATGGGTGTCAACAACTGGGTATGCTGGTACCGTCGCAACGTAGCCGTGAAATATATATTGTGGGGGGGAAGGGCGGAAACGGAAAAATATACAATGTTGACAGTATGTGCCAGGCATGAGGCTGCGCAGACCGAGCGGCAGCTCGATAGGGAGTGTGTGGGAGGGTCACCCTCATAAAAAAAATTTTTTTTAAATTTCAGTTTTCTGTAAGCAGTGAAAACACTATTTAGGCATTGTTTGCGGGGTTAAACCTAAAAATCACATTAATACACCTATTGCACGATATTGTGAAACTAGCTGACGAAGACAGCTCGGGCGGCGATTGTTCGACTCGGGGCTGCTCTGTCAGTATCTAACAAACGCATTTAGTTCGCGTACAACTTTTAAAAACCGAATGTCAGTATGGTATTTCTCACATAATTGGTTATCGCAAAAACAGAGTAAACTGAAAGCGAGTAATCTCGACTAGTCTATAGCCTACTTACAGTACTACACTGGTCGCTAGGCTTCCTATATTATTGTTTGTGGACGGTTTACTACTCAGTGATAAGCCTGCGCCGCAAAAAGAGGTCTCGCCTTTTATTATTAGTATAATGACTTCCTCATGTGCGGCAGGTTAGTTTGCTTCTAAAAACACTGTTTTCCGTTCCAAAAAATACAAAAGTAATTTTCTACCAGATGACCATGGTTCTTTTCACCGAGACTAGATAATTTCTCTCGGTGTAAGGATATAGCTATGGATAAGTTCATACAAGGTCAATAAATCCGCGGTCACTTCGGGTCACACTGTTGAGAAAATAAACCGATGGGTTTGTTTAGTAGCAAATCGAGCGTGAATCAACTGAGTTTGTACTGAAAAATTTTTGAGTGATATGTATGAACTGTCTTCACACATTCGGTTTATAATTAGCGATACACAGCTACAGTGGCAAGTGTTGTACTTCACAGACTGTTTACCCCCGAACTACCTCCGCACGAAATCCCCGATTTGGGTACTTGTTAAAAGAAAAAGAAATAGTACCTGTGCGCGTGCCAGTAAAAAAAAAACTAAGAGTTCGCGCATAAAAATGCCCGAACATACCAGGCGCCAGGTCATCTAGCCGTACACCTAGTACTTTTGGACCTCAGTGCTGCTTTTGATACTATAGATCATAGTATTTTATTTCAAAGCTGGAATGTTCGGTTGGGATCTGTGGTGCCGCACTGTCATGGATAAAGTCATATCTTCAAGATAGAACTCAAAAGGTGCAAATAAACAGGTCTGTGTCTCAACCCTGTGCTGTTAGGATAGGTGTTCCACAAGGATCTGTATTGGGACCTCTACTTTTTCTTCTATACATTCTTCTGATTGGTCAAATCATAAGAAGACATGGGGTACAAAACCATGGCTTTGCTGATGACACCCAAATATATGACTATTTTCAACACAACTATCTTGCTTCCAAGGATTCTATCAGTAGACTTGAGTCTTGTCTTAATGACATTCGAGGATGGATGACCAGAAGGCTAAAACTTAACGATGACAAATCCGAATTTCTTATATCATCAAAATCACAATCCAGTAAATTGTTAAAAGCGGATTCCATTCAGATCGGTGATTGCTCTATATCTCCCAAGAAGCAGGCTAAAAATCTGGGCTATGTTACTAATGAATTTAACTTCCCCAGTTCCCCAAATCAATAGTATCATACAGAAAATGCATCATCAAATGAGAGCTATTTCAAGAATACGCTCTAATCTTAATACTGATGCTTGCCAGAGTGTTGTTAGAGCATTAGTAACATCGCACATGTACTATGCAAATTCTCTTCTATTAGGAGCACCAGAAACAGCTTTAAACAGACTACAAATAGCGCAAAACAATGCTGCACGTCTTATAACTAAAACACAAAAATTTGATCATATATCAGCTAAGTTACAGAAACTCAATTGGCTTCCAGTTCGAGCGAGGGTTCAATTTAAAGCTCTTGTGAATGTGTTTAAATCAATTTATTCTGACACCGCACCCAGTTATTTAAAAGAACTCTTTGATTTCTATACTCCCCGGCGATCCAACCTTCATTCTTCAAGTGATCGTAGCATATTGAGGATCCCCAAATATAATAAGCGTTCTGGTGAATATGCTTTCTCCGTCAGAGCAGCTAAAATGTGGAATGATCTTCCAAAAACTCTTAGAGAGTCCTCTTCCATCCAGAGCTTTAAGACTAACTTAAAAACATACCTATTTCAAAAATGTTTTTGAACTGTTTTGTTGTGAATGCGCTTAGAAACACTCATGTGTAATGAAGCGCTATATAAATCGAACAATAATGATAATAATAATAATAATCACTTCCTCTTATCGCAGAATTTATCTGTCATTGATATTTTGATATTTATATGAACTGATATTAAATTTTTCTATTTTAATTTCTGATGAGTTATGTTCGTCAAAATATATGAACATCCAAATTATATGGTGGTCACTCACACCTGGTTAGTCTAGTCAACATCAAGAGTACTGTTTCACGGTTCAAGTTTATCTCGTTCACCAAGACGCCTCATTACACAATGTCACCAACTTATTCTAAACTGGTTTATTGATATTGGATATAAGAAACCCATATTTCATGGTTAGATAACATCATTATTATTGATTGGAATGGACCAATAAGCATGTCAATCTGTTTCACAAAGTATTATGGAAGTCTTCTAATATCTCTGTAAAGGGTGACTGCCTTCAACACATGAGGTCATATCACGTGGCGTCAATCATTGGCTAAATGGCGCATGCATTGTTTACATAAGACGATACTGATTCAAGCAGAATGGCGTCTTTTACTCATTTTAATACCCATTTACACTAAGGCTGACCTTAAAAATATCTTTGTTTCACCAAACCCGACCCACAATCGAGGAGAAGGGTCGGTAGGTCGGTTTTTTTTTCAGATTTTTTTTTAAAGTCAGAGAAATCAATACAGAAAACTTATTAGCTGTATACTACAGATTCATTAATTTTGTTTAATGAATTTGGGGTCTGACGTAAAAAGTAACGAACTGAAAGTTTTTATTAAACTTATTAAACATTCGTCTTCTTTATTGGCAAACAAATCAATGACATCGGGATTTTTCGTGATGCCCGATTAGCACACGATTTGCCACGAACTTGAAGTGTGAAACTCCTTCAACACGTTTTTAACGATAGTGCGGGTTGTGCCTTCATTTTTCTCGAAAACGGATATTGAAAATATCGTCGTCATGTTTAAAACTACGCACCACAGACATAGAGGCAGAATCATTTCGTGGGAATGGACGTGTATTCGTCTGCAACCATTTTGTTGAGAAGCGACACCTATGACGCTTTCGTCTTGATCAACCAGTTTCAATAATGAATCAAACCATAGCCATAGTAAAGGGAAATAACTCTCATGATATATTTCAGGTTGACACACAAAATAAAATAAAAAGATCATGGAAAAGTGCAATAAAATAATTTAAGTCGGGGGTGGTTTTAGTTAGTCGGTCGCGTTAGGCGAAACAAAGATATTTTTAAGGTCAGCCTAAAATAGAAAATACTTTTTACCTACAAATACTTCAAACGTCTTTATTTATTTTTCTAATACATAAGAATAATGTTTTAGAATTTAATTTGTCGGAGGAAAAAAGTTAATGTTTGTGGCTTATTAAGTCACATCGATGTCATCCTTATCAGTGATTGCCGCAGCCTGGCGAATATTCAAAGCGGATTAGTGTGTAAGCATGTTTGTAATGTTAAAAACTGTGGATAATATTGAGTTAAAGCTTTACACCCTGTAGGCCATGAGAAATGAGATATTGTTTGAAAATTGCAAATGGCAATCAGTGGCTATAACCATTCATAAATAGATGTACATGAATGTGTCAGTTGTGGAGATATTGATTGTATGCGAGCTTGTAAATAACATGATACTATAATTGTTTATATTTATTGAAATACAGGATGTTGCCAATCAGTTGTCCGAATTAAACACTCTATGGACGGAAGTACAGAGAGAATTTACTGGTAAGTTGTTCAATATTCACAATAACCCAGGTATTATTTAATCTTGTGTATCTAGCACTGATTTCTTTCACATTTATTTAATATCAGATCTTGTTTAAAAAATTGTAAAAATTGTTTAAAATCACCAAAAATCATCTAATTTATACTTGTGTCCAGTTTAAAGCTGACTGATTAATTTTGATACTGAGTGCCCAATTCACAAGTATTTCATTTCCTGACCACCGCCAAACATTAATCATTATACATCATTAATCAGTTGGGTTGTTTATTTTTCAACAGTTATTGAGAAATTAAACACTTGTAAATTGGACACTCATTATCAAAATTAAATGGTCAGCTTTAAACTGGACACAAGTACAAATTAGATGATTTATGGTGATTTTAAATGTTTTTTACAAGAAAGAAATTAGTGCTAGATACAAAAGATTAAATGATACCTGGGTTACAGTGATTACAGTTTGTCTGTTTGTTCCACATGCATTAGGAGCAATCTGATGGTAGTACAGATCAAACCGGTTGTAGTGCGAGGTTGTGTCAGAGGACAACCAAGCTGCTTTTGACCCTATTGTGTTGACAAGATGTTTAAATTTGTTCCTAGCCTTGCTGGGAGCTACAGTGGCTCAGGGAGTAATACATTGGCTTGGTAACCTGGAGGTCCCCTGTGGACACAAGTCCTGGCAAGGGACAACATATAGCCGTTCAGATGGTACGAAAATCGAAAGGTCTCCTGTATACATTGGTGGGCATGAAAAGAACCCTTGGCTATTGGAATTCGATATAAGAGTAGGAATATGATGTTAAACCCCATTTCATTTCCTATCCTTGTATAGTGTGTGTGTGTTTTGGGGGGGGGGGGTGGATGGCCGAATGGTTAGCATGTGCATGTTGTATCATAAGGTCTGTCATTGAGTCAACTGGCGTGGTTTCGAATCCCCGGTTGTACATGTACGTGACAAGGAGTAGGGTCGCCTGTCCAACCTCGTTGGTTTTTTCCGGGTCCTCCCACTGCTTAAGACATCTACATGTAAGTGAATTATTGAAATAAAATTAAACCATATGTTAGTCCCGAAATGACCTAGTTTGTGTCGAGTCGATGTTAAACCCCATTTCTCTCTCTCTCTCTGTATAATGTGTAAATGATGGTTGTATATTGTAATGTGTAAATGATTGTTGTATATTGTAATGTGTAAATGATGGTTGTATATGGTAATGTGTAAATGATTGTTTTTCAGATCAGTTAAAAGAATATCGTCAAACGTGGGAGAAAGTTTTAGAAGGGGAGAAACATGTAAATCAATCGAAAAATAATCTGGTATGTAGTCTGTTTATTTTCCCTTGAACATTTCTAAATCGTATTAGATATTATAAGGTTTTGATATTTAATCTGGTTTATTGTCTCTTGAACATTTCTAAATAGTATTAAATAAAATGGGGTTTGGCCTCATACTGGGCCAACAGGAACAGACATGTGACATGCATGTGCTATGAAGGAAATGCTACTGATTTTATATATTTTGATGATTATAACATAAGTTGGAGTTTGATCAAAAGTAGGCAGACACACTTCTGTCTAGGCAGCTGCACACATGAACCTAGTTCATAATCAACTGTAAGTTATTCTAAAAATAACTGCCATATTGTGTTGTCGAGATTTATAACTCCTTATAATTCAAAATATGTCATCATTACTTCCTGTTGGCTCTCCAGAATTTTCACCTTGTCCGTGGTAAAGGTCAAAGGGCCTGACAAGGACAGCTGTCATGTCGTTTGGATGGGATGGAAAACTGAGGTCTAGTGTACACATTGGCGTGCACGTAATAGATCCCTTGGCAGTTGGAATTCGATATAAGAGTAGGTCATAGCGCTGCTGCCAGGGCAAAATTTCCCTCATAGAACTCTGTATGGCATATGCCCGTCTTCATTATCCAACCCCATTCATTTAATTTCTGTCCAGAAATCTGACGATGAAAATTAATAAAACTTAATTGTTTCCTTATTGATATATTTTTAGGCAGCATGTGATCAGAGAGAAAATAAAATAAAACGTGAATTAAAGAAAGCTTATAAGGTAAATAGATTTATTATAGTTCATTCAGAAATTGACTTGAAGCAGGACTTTTTGCGACAATAAGGTTTGGGTGGCCGATTTGTTAAACGGGTGGCCTGTGATCATAAGGTCTGTCATTGAGTCAAGTGGCATGGTTTTGATTCTTTGCTTGTACGTGACATGAAGTAGGGTCGTCTGTCCAACCTCGGGAGATTTCTCCTGTCTCGAATTCTTCCAACTGCTTTAATTAATATCTAGGACTATTTTGTTGGGTATGAATACATTGTTATTAAAGTAGTCTTCACCATGTGTTATGAAAATGGTTGACTGCTATTGCGTTGTGTAAAACTATTATGCCTGTCACCTACAGTACGATACAACAGAATTACAACCAGGGTCTCATCCAACCTTGATACCTATCTGGTTCTAATAATGCAGTTCAGTTTTACACTCAGTTATTGAATGATGAAATATTTATTGTGTTTCAACAGAGATTTTTACATTGTATTTTTCCAGAAAGCTCCTCGTTCTGAACTCGAGGCTTTAGAAGCCAAATTATCCCAGGCTGAACAAGCTAAAGACTTTGCCCAGTTAGAAGGTAAATTGATGAAACAAATTATCAGTAATAACTCAATAATTAAGACTCTTTGTCTTGTCAACACATTTTAATGAAATGACCTTTCCATTACAAAAACAAAGTCAAGCTCCACACAGAACTCTTCCAAGGGAAACCACTCCAAATAATAAAGATAACTCTTGACATGTCTTAACATATCAGACCACTAATGAATTGTCCTAACACACAAAACTAGATGTTATCAATCAGTACCAGTGTTAAAGATGCATTATGTAAGAGCTAGATAAAGAGCTAGGCATTCGTGCTATAATAGTTCAAAAATAGATAATGAATATATTGAAAAATTCAGTCCAATTACTTATTCTGTTTGAAGTTATGAGTGTTTGAAGTCAGGCCGGTTGTTCAAAGCTCTTTTAACTTTTAACAACTCGTTAACATGGAGTTAATATATCGTTATCTTTAATGGAGAGAAAGTCTGTTGCTGGAAGCCTGTTAACTTTAACATGTCGTTAACTTGCCGTTATATTTGACGGAGGTGTTAGGCCCCTATATCTGTTTAATGATGGCCTTAGTCGGCTGTCAGTCGAAGTATACCTTTGATAAAAAGTCATAAATAACCATTATAATTTTCTATAGAACAGAGGTTTGGGCGATGGGGTGCTTTTCCATTTTCAATAGGATGAAGTTCTGTAGTATTACAAATATCCATATTTGTAGCTTTGACGAGCCTTAAATTTTAGTATCAAAAAAGTACATATGATGCAAATATTTGGTTTCTTCTATTAGCGGGGGTTGGATGGCCCAATGGTTAGCACATGCGCACTGTATCATAAGGTCTGTCATTGAGTCAACTGGCGTGGTTTCGATTCCCCGGTTCTATGGGACCAGGAGTAGGGTCGCCTGTCCAACCTCGTGGGTTTTCTCCGGTTTCCTCCCACTGCTAAAGACCCCTACGCGCAAGCTAATTATTGAAATAAAATTGAACCATATGTTAGTCCTCCCCCTCTCTCTCTCTCTCTCTTCCTCTCTCTCTCTTCTATTAAGGATAACCTCACTACACACAAAACAAAACCCATAAGACAAAATATACTTTTATTGAAATTTATGTATAACTGTGTTGTTTTCTGTATTTTTACAGTTGATGAAAGAATGAGAGAAAATGAAGCTATAAAGTTAATACGTATAAAAGAAGGATTATTAAAACTCTCCAACTCGTATATAGATTTTGCACACAATACAGCTGTTGTGTTTGAATCACAAAGAGTAAGTATCTGACATGACCAGATGTACACAAGCTTTGAAATAAAGCACCTATCACAGACAATGTCAAGCACATATCCCCGTTTTGTCAGGCTCAATCCCTTTGTTACCATTTTGGGGAGGTGGGAACAAGTCGCGAGTCCCAAGTCGCTGACTTTAGTCCTTAGCTCCTTCAAGTTGAAAGTTATCAAGATTGCCAAGTCAAGTTGCGTCAAATATTTCAAGTCGATTTGCCTATTGGGTCTTTGATGCGACTTTTGTCAGACTCGACTCTCAAGTCGTTGGACTCAAGTTCCCATCTTTTCATGTTGTGTTTTTTTTTTGTGTGTTTTTATTGATATCTGTAATGCAGGTTTAATATGGGTGTGGATTATGGTCGTAACTATGATTCGAACTAGCAAAAAGTACCAACCACTGTCTATTCAACATGGTGGTGCTGACAAAAGTACTAGTATCATTTGCTATTAGATAACTTTCTGAAATTTTTTTTGACAATGGTTATCAGAAATGTTTTTTTTATAACATTTGCTCCATTCAGCAGCTTATATTTTCCAGTAAAAAATTTACTCAAGTTTCAATCTTCTCTGTCATCTTATTAATGTATTGTTTGACGAGTTACGACCATAGTCCAAACTAATTGCCAATCGATTGCAGACCAGTTTGCTGGTCTCAGATAGCAATCGTTGCCAGTTTTAGCCCTTTAAGTGAAAGGATCAGGAGATTTAGAATCCTGTCCTCAGTACGGGGGTTTGGTGGCCGAATGGTTAACTGTACACATTGCATCATATAATTTGTCGTTGAGTCAAGTGGCATTTCGATTCCCTGCTTTTACGTGACAAGGAGTAGGGTCGCCTGCCCAGGCTGATGGGTTTCTCTGATGACCTCCCACTGCTAAAGACCCCTGCGCACAGGTGATTTGTTGAAATAAAATTGAACCATGTGTTAGTCCCGAAATGACCTAGTTTGTGTTGAGTTTGGTGGCCGAATGGTTAACGTGTACACATTGCATCATAAGATTTTTCATTGAGTCAAGTGGCATTTCGATTCCCTGCTTTTGCGTGACAAGGAGTAGGGTCGCCTGCCCAGGCTGATGGGTTTCTCTGATGACCTCCCACTGCTAAAGACCCCTGCGCACAGGTGATTTGTTGAAATAAAATTGAATCATGTGTTAGTCCCGAAATGACCTAGTTTGTGTTGAGTTGACGTTAAACCCCATTTCTACCCCCCCCACACCCTTTTGTCTGTGTCGAATAACTAAAGTGACACATATTCAATCCGCGGGGAGTGTAATATAGTATTATAACCCTATTTTATTCCTTTCCATTGTTTGTAGAATATAGCTTTACAACTACCTGATGTACATGATCAAGAATTAGAAGATATAAAATATACTGGTATGTTCATTTATATTAATTTATTACCAGTGATGTGCTAAAAAAAGAAATGTGGGAATGCATTTTGAAATTGTTACTCGAACAAATTGTAAGGACATTTAGGGGCAAAAAGCTACAGTAACTGTCAACTGACGGGAGCGGTGGACAGCCTATGAGAAATGGGAGGGAGTGGCAATTATTTTTGCGAGTTGTGCAGGAGAACCACACCACACACAAAGATTAAGCTTAAATATTTTAAGTATTTCTCATATTTCTATGTAAAGCCGATCGCAGATGATTGAACACTTATGTCGACGTAAAAAACACTGTTTTATTTTTTTGTCCGCAGAAGACGAACATGGTAATGCAGATGAACAAATGTTTTGGCTCGAACAATACATTACCTCTTAATGACAAATATATATTAACCTATGTCATCGCTACCGTCATGGCATACATATCACATGATATTCGAATTTTTGTTCTTTTCAAAATTTTGCTTCCAATTACTGCAGGTGCAAAATTATTTTAAAAATATACTCAGCCAAATTAAAAACTTGACACTGATGAATTTCAACAAAAAAATTTTTTCTGGTAAGTCAAATAAACTTTAAAGTGTTTCTAACGATAGTAAGTAGTAAGAAGCCTTTAATTTCATCACGTGGATCACGTGACTTTTGAGCATATAAAGATGAAAAACCTGAAAAACACGTGCAAACACAAACTCGTGAGGTCAATCAATGCAAGTTTGCTTAAACTGAACACGCACACGTAACTTGAACTGGAAAAACAAATTAAAATTGTTATTTTCATCTTTGTTAGAAAATGCCGCGCCTTTCAAATGTAGAACGCCTACGTGCTATAGGTAGGCTCTATGCTGGTCAGTCTGTGGTCACTGTTGCAAGAGCCTTTAATTGTTCACGCCAGACAATAATTAATCTTAGAATGAGAGTGCTTCAAACTGGAACTATCGCCGACCGCCCAAGGGCGGGAGCGCCACGTGTGACGTCACTCCAGGAAGACCAAGCAATACGATTACGTCATCTTAGAAACAGATTTGTCACTGCAACCTCTACAAGTAGAGAGATGTTTGATGGAAGGGTAACTGCACAAACTGTTCGAAATAGCTTGCAGACTGCTGGTCTTCGAGCTAGGAGGCCCTATAATGGACCAATATTGACACCTCTTCATCGCCGTAACAGACTTGTGTGGGCCACAAGACACATAAGATTTACTCAAAGACAGTGGAATTTGGTAGTCTTTAGTCACGAATCTCGATTCACTTTGAGATTTGCCGATGGCAGGGTCCGAGTGTACCGCAGACGAGGTGAACGTTACGCTCAAGTATGCGTCAGAGAATTTGACCGATTTGGTGGCAGCAGCGTCATGGTTTGGGGTTCTATTTGTGCACATGGACATTCTCCTCTTGTTGTTGTCCAAGGGAACTTAAATGCTGTCCAGTACAGGGATCAGATTTTGCAACATGTTCTTCTTCCGTTTATGCAGAGACATGGGCCTGGACTAACATTTCAACAAGACAATGCTCAACCCCATACAGCAATTGCTACCCAGAATTTTTTAAGAAATGCCGGTGTCCAAGTCCTGGATTGGCCGTCGCTTAGCCCCGACCTTAATCCTATTGAACACATCTGGGACGAACTGTGTCGACGTGTTCGTCAGCAAGTGAATCCACCACTGACGTTACAGGACCTTCAACATGCTCTTTCTGAGCAGTGGCGACGTCTTCCTCGGGTAGTGTTTACTAATGCTCTGAGATCCATGAGAAGACGTTGTGTGGCAGTACGAGACGCTATAGGAGGCCACAACCGTTACTAAATACTTTATTCCGATTGTTCTCCAAGTCTGTGAATTTCATTTTGGGGGGTACTGTGACATCACGAACGTTATCAATGTCAAGGACTTTCGGCGAGACGTATTCTTGCTTTCTGTTGATGTCAAGGTCGTCTGTGCACAACATAACACTAAAATAGTTGCCTTAAGCCAAATATTAAAAATCTAGTCCCAAAAATCCTGAGTGTCAAGTTTTTCATTTGGCTGAGTATAGTAATGGCGTGTTAGTTCTTCTCAAAAGTTTTTCATTCTTAGTTTTTAAGTTTGGAAATCTATAAATACTAAACACTATGTAATGTTTATGTTATTTTATATACAGGTTCAGGGGCTACTAAACACTATGTAATGTTTATGTTATTTTATATACAGGTTCAGGGGCTACTAAACACTATGTAATGTTTATGTTATTTTATATACAGGTTCAGGGGCTACTAAACACTATGTAATGAAAGCAAAAGATGAAATTAAGAAAAATAAAGAAAGGGCAGCTCGATCTCCATACTGTAAGAAAAAATATATTTTAATCACTTTAACTCTCGGCCCGGAGATAACTTTACCATTCGTTTATCTCTCGTAAAACTCGTCGGCCATTAATCAGCGTGAAATCGGTTTCTAAGCCCCCCAAAGCCCATACCTACCCCGAAGCTCCTGAATGGCAGGATTTTTGGTCTAGTAAAACCATAAGGTCTGTCATTGTGTCAAGTAAGTGGAATGTTTTCGAATCCCCACTTGTACTTGACAAAGAGTAGATTCACCTGCCTGACCTTGTGCGGTTTCCCTAGGTCCTCCGGTTTCCTCTCACAGCTAAAGCCCCCTATGTACAGGTGAATTGTTAAAATAAAAAATTGAACCACGTGCTAGTCCTGAAATGACCTGGTTTGTGTCAAGCGGATGTTAACCTCTCTTTCTGTGTCTCTCCCTCTCATTAGTGCCAGACATTTCCAGGTCCAGCAGTAGGTTTATAATATGTTGATCAATGGGTTTTTTTGTTTTTTTCAGATGAACCTCCACCACCGTACTCCCCAACCGACAACGTGACCAGCGATAGCAGCATCAACTCTTCATTAAATTCCTCAGCCAATCATGGTGCCTCTCCTCGACGCCGATCATTACCGCCGTCACATGGTCGACAGATAACAGCGGAAGACTATGAATGGAGGAGTGATGACAATGGCGAAGATTTAACGGGAGCGATGGGAGGATTTCATATCAGTTAATGTCATGTTCATCGTAAAAAAAAATTGTTATCTTGTAAATATTACATAAAATTGTGCTATTCCAAAAAACTTAAAGATGCATTATGCAAGAGCTAAATCTGCATATTTGCTTCAAATGTTATATAAACTATTTTTTAGACATTTATTTATTCACATGACAAGCCTATAATCAACTCTCTAGACTATTGGATGGCTGAGATTTAAATGGATTAGAACACTTGCAAGATTTTAAAGTTTAATGATAAAATTGATAACCCTTTCTACAATAATAAACAATCTAAAGTGATAACTTCGCTCAGAATGAAATACCAGTAATTTGAATGAAATTTTCAATATATTAATTTTTCTTTATCTATTTTTGAACTATTATACATAGCAAGAACAGTCAGTTCTTTATCTAGAAGGGGGGTTGGATGGCCGAATGGTTAGCACGTGCGTGCTGTATCATAAAGCCTGTCATTGAGTCAACTGGCGTGGTTTCGAATCCCCGGTTGTACGTGACAAGGAGTAGGGTCGCCTGTCCAACCTCATGGGTTTTCTCCGGGTCCTCCGGTTTCCTCCCACTGCTAAAGACCCCTACGCGCAAGCAAATTATTGCAATAAAATTAAACCATGTTAATCCCGAAATGACCTAGTTTGTGTCGAGTGGACGTTAAACCCCATTTCTCCCTCTCTCTCTCTTTATCTAAATCTTACATAATGCATCTTTAGGAGAGGTGACCCAGATTTCACAAGTTTCTGTTGTTACACAAGGTTTTAAAGTTGCAATTTCATATTTTTAAGTTATATTTTTAAAATTTATTAAAATAAAGCCTTAAAATAGATGGTATCTATAAACAGTCCTACCTTGTTAAAGAATAATCCTATTAATCCTATAATTCACTATTGCCAGCTGAGAAATTGGCAAGCATATCATTTTCATCTTCAAATTCCAACGTTTGAAGATAACTAATCCATGGTGGAGAATAGAAAACACCAGGGAGGTAATTGGGAGGTAATTGTGTTATTATTTCCCGGTGTAAATGAGTTTTAAGTGTGAGAATGACACCTTTGATCGTATAATAGTGAGTTGACAACCTATTGAGCAAAAGACATAGAAATAATTATGTTTTGACTTTCTTAGAAAATATGAAATTGTAACTTTAAGCAGGAATCTTAATTGGCTGGTTATAGTCTTTTGTTGTTTAAAAAGGTGATTGATAAAACAATGAAACGGTCACCATGGTATCATAAATCAATCTACTTTTGGCTCAATTACAAAGAGTTAAATTATAACGTGTCAACTAAGATCTCAATCGGTTTGCTTGTCAGTAACAATAACAGTCATACCTTAGTGAGAAAGGGCCACATAGTTCATTCATATGATCCAGGTAATTAACCCATTTATGCAAATCAGTCACCAGAATATAAAGAATTAGCTTGGATAGCTGCAGTGGCGTAGCTTGGGTGGCATTTGCAAAAGTCTTTCGAGTCACAAAATGTGAAGCACAAAAAGTATTAATTAATAGAAAATCTCACAATGTTTGAATATTCTGCATAGTTTTTCAACATAATGAGTTAAATAATTGATTGTTGTGATAACAGTCTGTTGATTAGCTGGTGCAATATTTGCCTTGTCCTGGGCGCTGGTGACCCACGCTACGCCACTGGATTGCTTATTTAATCTAGCATTAGTTTTAACTTTAAATAACAAGATAGTGACAACTTGATTTTTAATATTTTCGTGATATATATATTATATATATTTTACTGATTAAATATTTAGATGTGTATAAAGTAGCATTATGTAAGAGCTAAATCTGCTTATTGCGGGTCTTTATTTAGGCCTCAAATGTTATATAAACTATTAATTAGACATTTATTAACAAAACAAGACCATAATCAATGGATGGATGGTCGTGATTTTCAATGGGTTTAAATACAATCACCATTTTAATAATTGAATTTATAAATGGATAATCAAGACTTCATTGTGAACTCTTCACAGCCAAATAACTTGGCTCAGAATAAGTTAATTTGACTGAAATTTTCAATGTATTCATTTTTCAATATCTATTTTTAAAATATTATAGCAAGATAGGCTAGCTCTTTATCTAAATCTTACATAATGCATCTTTAAAATATGAAATACTGACAGATGTTGTTTCTGTTTGACTTGGTGTGTAACTAAATAAATTAAGGTAAAATGATAGATAAGCCGTCTTCAATTCAAGGTTACAAATTGTTCGTCATCTTATAACTTGCCATTTATTCTCTATGTGATTTCAACGTCACAACTTCTTCTACTATAATCTGTCTTTCTTTAACCCTTTAGAACTTACGCCACTCAAAACCATCCTAACTAGATCTCTTTAGAACACCTCAAACTGCCTGAAATATGAATGAAGCCTTGGGACCCCAATATTTTGGGTGCCTTTAGCACTTAGAGCTCCTTAGAACAACCCAAACTGCCTGAAATATGTCGGAATCTAAGGGACCTCAATATTTAGGGTGCTTTAACCCTTCATCCTGAGATATATCTCTGAAGCCAGGGGACCCCAATATTTAGGGTGCCTTTAGCACTTATTGGTCCTTATAACACCCCAAACTACCTGTCAAGTGCACAGCTGTCGTGCCAAACGCACTTGTATCTGGCTGGAGAGCTATTCACATATATCATGCAGTTTGAGACTGTTTCAGAGGTGTATCAGTATTAATTGATCACTTTTCTCCCCTATTTTTTTCATGGAGCTGGTGTAGTCAATATTTCCATGTGTTAAATGTTTAAATAAAAGTTTTTATAGAAACTAGTGGTGGCAGGTATCCACAGAGTAATCCATGATAGTATGAAGTACATACTTTTTATTTTATTTTTTCTTTACTTGCTCTTTCCTTTACTAAAAATCTGACCAAATAATTTAATATCAGAGATTATTGTTTTATTTCTTAAATTAAATATGAAGTTTTAAAACTTGTGAAATGCCCACATTTCTGGGGGGTCCTTTTCAAAACTATATGATACTGAAATCTCTGTTTGAAATTATTAGACAGGGTGTATAATGGATTATAAGCTTGTGTTGTCAGCAGGAAAAGTTGTTCAGACCAAAGATGTCAGACCTGGAAATTATTATTTGTGTTATATCTGACAAAATATCAGTCCTATTTAATTTTATGCCTGATATGTAGTAAACATATTGAAGACTTGATGCATCATTTCGCTAAAATATCAATTTTTGGGTGGCTTAATACATGATAAATATGTACTCAGATTGATTATTTACCATTTAATTAAGAAAAGGAAAATCAAAATACCAACGTTAGATAATATCCTGGCTTGGATTCAATTTAATTTAAACTAGGTCCATCAGGTTTCTTCATTATGCTCGAGCAGCATAGATCAATGAAATTTCAATTTATCATAACTTTGCAAATACTGAACGAAATCGAACCATATTTTGACTGATATTCCATGTAGAGATTTTCCGGCGTGGTTCCCCCTTGTCAGTGATGCAGGACGGAGGGCCTGACAAGGACAGCTGTCTAGTCGTTCGGATGGGACGAAAAAACGAGGTCTCGTGTGCACATTGGCGTGCACGTAAAAGATCCCTTGACAGTTGGAATTTGATATAAGAGTAGGCCGTAGTGCCGCTGTCGGGGCAAAATTTCCCTCATAGCACACTGTATGGCGTATGCCCGTCTTCATTAGCCCAGTTCGGAGCAGAACAGTAGGACGTTAAACCCCATTTCATTTCTTTTCCATGTAGAGCTTAAACTTTAACAATGCTGTATTTTGCAAGGGATAAATACAGTGCTAAATGATGCATCAAGCCTTTAATAGAAACAATGAAAAGAGACTGATCTGTGCCGACTGACAATGTCTGTGATAGGTGCCTTATTTCCAGGCTAGGATATGCCTACATTAAATTATTTGGTCAATTTTCCTTATGTTTCTAATTTATTTATATATTTTATTGTTAATTAATATTGACCTCAGAGATTAGCAGCGAGCTTAGTATTTATTTCCTCTAAACCTTTAAATTGTAGGTTTTTTTGTCCACCATCTGAGCCAGCAGTCTTTATTTTCCGTAACATTGTATTAAACTAGTAGACAGTTAACCTCTAGTTCCGATGTGAGAGACATGCATTCACTGTGTGGGGGGTTGGATGGCTGAATGGTTAGCGTGCGCGCGCTGTATCATAAAGTCTGTCATTGAGTCGACTGGCGTGGTTTCGAATCCCCGGTTGTACGTGGCAAGGAGTAGGGTCGCCTGTCCAACCTCGTGGGTTTTCTCCGGGTCCTCTGGTTTCCTCCCACTGCTAAAGACCCCTACGCGCAAGCGAATTATGTAAATAAAATTAAACCATATGTTAGTCCCGAAATGACCTAGTTTGTGTCGAGTAGACGTTAAACCCCATCTCTCTCTCTCTCTCATTCACTGTGTATGAGAAATAAAACTGGATACTTGTGATTTTACCCTTTCTGACAAGAGCAGGGCTCTCATTTCAAACATTTAGTCATTTAACTGAAAGGTCTCAGCAAGAACACATTACAGCCTGGTAATGGGATGTATCAGTGTACCCTTTACATTGTGTTGCTAAAAAGAACAAGGCTATCATAAAAGTCATAAAGCCAGAGAGAATATATTACAGTCTGTCAAAAGTGTGTTACTGACAAGAACAAGGCTGTCATGTCAGTCATAAAGCCAGAGAACATATTACAACCTGCCAATACCTTGTATTAGTACACTTGCGGAGTTACTGTTACAGATGAGAGCAGGGCTTTCATTTGAGTTGTGGTTGCCAGTCTTGACTGACTGGCAGTGAAATTGACCAACTTGAGACATGAAATACCAGTCAATTTACATGCCATAAATTAGTTATTGCCAAGAATTTAGCCTTAAAACACAGTAAAATGTATAGCTTTTGTGTGTAAAAACAATTAGAAATGGATATAAACAAATTAGAACAATTCTTAAAATTGTCATATTCTTTATGAAAAATATCTTGCTGTTCTGAAGTAAACAAAATACATAATACATGTAAATTGACCGACTGGCAGAAATTTGAAATGAAAGCCATGATCGAGATTGACAGTTCAAGATTGCTTGATGGTGGACAGATGTTATTATTATTATATAATGCCAGTATGGCACTTTAACTTTCTTTTAGAGATTAGAGAAATTTTTATCTCACAGTTTTCTTCTTAAATGCTGACATTACATGATTTGATTACTCTTATAATTTGTAATGTATTTTATTTCATTTTAAATGAATTTAATTAGGATGTAAATCAATTAAGGTGATGAAATTATATTTTTGAACTGTTTATGGTTAAAGGAGCGGGGCACCTTTGATTCAGTATTGAATAGGCTTCATCTGGTACTGAAAAGAATATCGGCCAAAAGTTATAAATAAACCCAAATTGGTCGAAAAAATCATTAAAATCGAAAACTAATGGAAAGGTTAAGCCATTGAATGTTTTGGTTTCACTGCGGCATTTTTATTTACCAATTGTTATAATCATTTGAACATTATTTCATCTCTATCTACCACTCGTATCGTAAACCCCTATGCATATTTAATTTTTGTTTCAATCATCCAAATTACTATCTTAAATACCTGGGCTCACGTATTAATTACAATTGCCAATCTAGACGGAATCGCAGTGAAAATGACCAGCTCGAGAACTTAACTATTGGTCAATTTAAATGGTAAAAATTAGAATTTCAATGAATCTAACCTTAAAATAGAATAAAAACATTTAAATTTATAGTTTTTATATCTTAAAACTCTTAAAAATTGGGATAATTCTAAAAATTGTTATACCCTTTGGAAGGAAAAAAAATTGCTAATCTGGCCCAAGTTTACAAAGCATTCACAGACTTTAAAAGTTAAGAATTTACTTAAAATTGTTTGCCTATAGCCCTTTATAAATCTTTGTTGTTTAATGTATCAAATACATCTGGATTAAAGATTTTTCTCATAAACAGTGATTGTAAGTTGAGTAAATTTTTAAGTCTGAGAATGCTTTGTGAACTCGGGGGCCTAAAGTAGTGTAATCATCCAAATAACTGTCTAAATATCGATTCTGTCCTTAATTTTGTTGAAGAAGCCTCTAATTTCTACTTTTCATTTCTACTCAAAAAAGTAGTCAATACTGTTCCAGTAGAGATTGGGAAGGTGTGTTTTTTTTCTTGTGATGATGGTTTAATCTTTATCATTATGTAATATTGACAATAAACTATTAATTAATGGATTATTTCTATATGTATATGATATAAATAGAATAAGATTTTAACCAATGAAAATGTTTGTAGTATTTAGTCTTAGTGCAATAAAAGTTTAAATACAGAGGCTGTACCTTTAATATAGTATTCAGTTGTTTCTTTCATAGCCACGGTCGACCAGCATGAAATGAAATGAGAAGGGGTTTATCATTCTGCACTGACTGGGCTAATGAAGACGGCATACCTCATGCAGTGTGCTATGAGGTAAAATTTGCCCTGGCAGCAGTGCTACGACCTACACTTATATCGAATTCCAACTGCCAAGGGATCTATTACGTGCACGCCAATGTGTTTTTTGTACCATCCCAACAACTAGACCCTGTTCCTTGTCAGACCCTCCATCAGCACCACTGACAAGCGGAAACCACGCTGGAAAATTCCAGCGACCTTTCTCAGCCAACACATGGATCAAACCCCAGATTAGTGACCCTAAGTCTTTCTCACCGAGCTCCCGTGGGCCAGCATATTGGTCACAGAAGTTAAAATAGGTGCTAACTGATAAGTCTGGTACTAATGGAAGCTATTAATGGTTTGAGTGTGGGTTAGTGGCGAGCTACAGTAGTGTGTAAAGTGCTGGCTCGCTAACCTAAATGTCCTGTCCAACCTTTCTGCACAAACCAGACTAATGAAGATCAGCATACATCACATATTGTGGTATAAGGAAAATTTTGCATGGACAGTAGGGTCTCGGCCTACTCTTCATCAAATTCCATGTGACATTACATGCACGCCAAAGTGTCCTATCCGAATGCCTAGATGCCGTTATGTTCCTTGCCATGCCCTGCACAACAGACAACTGTAAAATCCAGGTGAACTTTCTCGGTCAACACCGGGAATTTATTTATATTTTTTTTTAAAATTTTCCAAGAGGCACATCAAAAATGACAATAGAGGTGATAATATAAAGTTACATGATAATCAGATGAGAAAGTTTGATGTTTTACAGTTCTATACTAACAGGGCTAATAAAGATAGTCATAGGTCATGCAATTCTTATTTTAATTTTTAATTGTCAGGACCTTCAATAATATAATGCTAATAATATATATAGGACCATAGTTTTTTTGTAACATCCAAATGGCTATCGGTTGTTTTTACGTTAAAAAAAAACGTTGAGGAACTTCCTCAGCAAACACAGGCACCTCTTACTCACTAAGCCACTGCAGCTTCCTCTTCCAGTAATAATGAATATTGGCCCTACGTGCAATTTATTATGTACCGGTAGGTATATAATGTTTCCCTTATATGTATTTTTGAAATTTTCTGAAAAAGTCGGAATCATTCTTAAAGATAAACACAGCACATCAAATAAATCATTTCAAAATTGTCAATTTATTATTTACAAGTATGTACATTATGTCATATCGGTTCTAAGAGAATATTTTAAGTTTTTTTTTATCAACTTGCCAAATCAATTTGAATTTAGTGGAGATGTCATGTGACTTAGGCCCCAATATGAATGATAAATGGACAGTAAGTAATGAAAAATACATTCTGAAAAATGGACCCTCCCTCAATGAACTGAGGTGACAGACATGGCGTCTAATAACAGTTCATTTATAGCTTAAGGTATCTCCCCGCGAAAACAAAGTTTTGAGAGGGATTTGAAGCAAATTTTTGATAGATTAATTGGTTTGAATATATTTTTAGTCCAAATATATCATCAAACCACACAGTATCTTTAACCTAATTTGATAAACACATCAGAATCAGGAGATAAAAACACATAATTTTGAGGAGCTTCATTGTCCATTTAACCATGCTTGAATCAATAGAACATGAGAAAAATTTAGATACATGTGTATATGCTACAATAATTACTTAAAAGTCTTTTAGTTCACAGCGTAGTGATAAGAGTAGTAACAGAGGCTATGAAAAAGTTGTTGACTGCTGTGAAGATTCGTTTTCCTGAAAATAAAAATCACAAAACTTTTAATGGAAAAAAATAATGATGATCAAAACCAAAATATCAACTGTAGATAATATCCTGACTCTGGACTCGATTGGATTTGTGGTCAGTTGTTTTACTGTTCTGCTTCAACTGGGCTAATGAAGATGGGCATACACCATACAGTGTGCTGGGAATTTTGCCTGAACAGCGATGCAACGGCCTATTCTTATTTCGATTTCCAACTGCCAAGGGATCTTTTATGTGCATGCTAATGTGTACACAGGACCATTTTTCGTCCCATCAGAACAACTAGACAGCTGTCCTTGTCAGACCCTCCGTCCTGCACCACTGACAAGGGGAATTATAACGTCTGGAGAGGATGGCGAATGTTGCAAACCTTTCAATTCATCATATCTTTGTTAATACGGAAGGGTGCTGAACCATTTTTGACTCCTTTTAGATATTTAAATTTCACAATATTGTAGTTTGTAAGGGATTAACAAAGACTCAAATGACAATTATCGGCTTTAACTATCCCTCAATGGACGATTTAATTCAATATATCAGTTGTCCACTTTCCATTGATTGTACTTTTAACACAAAACAAAACTTGAAACTTTACCTTAATAGCAGCAGATTCTCGTCTAAGTTCCTTGATAACCAAGGCTAAGGCTTCGGGATTAACTCCTGATTCACAGAGTCGAACACAAGTCGCCAGAGTTTCTTCATCAAGTCCAGTGTTCAATAACGAGGAAATCTCCATCAAAGCTGAAAGAATAAAAATTGTAGTAAAGACTAGCTAAAAAAATTTTGTAAAAGAGCTGGGAGTTAAATTTCAATGAATTCAAGGACTCAGTCTCAACGCAAAACAAGATCAGAGTTAGAGCAGAAACTTTTTTTAACCTTTGCGATTTCTGCTGAAGTTGGTACGATGAAAGAGAAAACACTAGAGGAGTTAACAGTCAATTTATAAAACTCTTATCGTAAACACTTTTGTCACAAGGGATAGGGTTGCCTATCCAACCTCGTGAGTTTTCTCCGAGTCCTTCCACCTACAAAAAAATATTGACAGATTCGGCTGAAATTTGGTGTGAGGTCATGGCTAGGACCCATGAATACCCCCTGAAAATTTCTCATGTCTCTACGATCATGGGAACTTGTAGTAGTGGTAGGTTACGTAACTACGTTACTGAAATAGGCTAGTACCCATATCATGTAAGACCCCAGCCGCAAGCGATTTATTGAAATAAAAATGAACCATATGCTAGTCCCGAAATGACCTAGTTTGTTTCGAGTCGACGTCAAACCCCAACCCCCATTTCTCTCTCTCTCTCTCTCTCTCTCTCGTTGAGTCAGTTTGGGTTGATAATTGATCATCATGCATGATCATGATCATGTTCATTCACGTGAGTTTCAGTTTGTCCATTTCCTCGGTCATCTAGGCTACTAGTACTAGCGTAGGCCCAATTACCTTTGTAGTTTAGCGAGAGAAAAATAATAATAACCACACACGTGAATCACTAACAAAACGACTGATCCACGCTACATAAACTTACTTTCCATGGTTTCTCTTGCAGACGAAATTCGCGGTTTGCTGGAATCCGCCATTATTGTTGTTGTTTTCAAGGACTGTCCCGCGATGAATATTATTCCCTTTTAGTGGAAAATATCTTTAACGGATGAATCAATATATTGTAAATGGGAAAAAGGGCCTATGAATTTATTTTGACAGTCAAAATATTTGTTTAGTTAGATCTAGATATTTAATATTTTCTACGAAAAGCGGAAGTTGACGATCGGATTAATCGCACCCGTTAAGCGCAGGAAGCGGGAATTTGAACTGAATAACAAGTCCAGACAGATTTACTGTTATGATTTTCAGCTGGCCAACAAATTAAATGGCTTCGTTATAAGGTTTAAACTTTAATCCTCCTTAATTGTTTTGTCGAATTCCAATGAAACATGTCTAGAATACATTTCTAGTAGGCCGAGTGAATCAGTGATTATAATTTTTTGAACGTTTTGCAAAAATAATTGTTGATTGAATCATATGATATTGGAATGTTTTGTTTCTAAAATGATTCATGTAGAAATGATAAAGAGATTTTCTGTTGATTTTATTATGTTTCAAGATGTGCAGTTATTTTATTGTAGATATAGATAGGGCTACCAGTATTCTCCATTTAAACTTTTGCTCTGTCTAGAAGAACTGAACAGTCTATTCAAGACAAGTAGTGGGTGATAGACACAGCCATAGGCTGGCATAGTTATTAGTACATGATGATGATGGAAGGCCGATATATTTTACTGGAATGTGATGATGTAGATCTAGCTACGAGAACGTGCTTGTTTTCAGCTATGATTGGGTGCCTTTAGTTTCCCCTGGCAAACTTATAAATTTCATTATTAATGCCATGGCATAATGCATGTAACATCTTGAAAATAAGTTAATTTTATACTAAGAACTAATTAAATATACGCACCCCACTCTAGTGAAAGTTAGTGAAACAATTCAGGTTTATCTGCAAATATTGTCGTTTTATCAAAACGAGAACGTGCTTGTTTTTAGCTACGATTGGGTGCCTTTAGTTTCCCCTGGCAAACTTCTAAATTTCATTATTAATTAATGCCATGGCATAATGCATGTAACATCTTGAAAATAAGTTAATTTTATACTAAGAACTTATTAAACATACGCACCCCACTCTAGTGAAAGTTAGTGAAACAATTAGGTTTATCTGCAAATTGTTGTTTTATCAAAATTGATACGGACATTCATAATTACGGTGTAGGCCTATTATTCCTGTCCAACTCATAATCAGGTTAGTACTTTGATTGGCTGTTGTACAAGACCACCCGGCATCATGATGTCAAAGAATCAAAGATGTCAAATTTAAAATGGCGTAAAGCCAGGCAATTATCGCTTTGAATTAAATAGACATGATTTGTACCTGTGTCAGGTAGCAGGTAGGATTATATGCTTTGAGGTTGAATGTGGCAGAAATGTTAAGAATAACAATAATCAGTTGTTGTTTTGATGAAAAGTTTTGTCAATTTTGCTTACTGGGGCCTGATGTGATCCCCGTCGGGATTTGCAAGAAGGAACTATAGCACCATCTCTTATCTTGAAACATGGAGGGGTGAGAGATGAGGTTTCTTATCTAATGTAGATCTAACTATTTTAACTCAAGCTTTCAGTCTAGATATCAAATTGATTTCATTGCATGGTACTGTAGAGCATAATTTATAACTATGCATGTACACTATTGACTATTAGACTTACATACATGTATATGTAGAGGGCCAGGTATACATGTACGTAACATGCACATATTTTGCCAAAATATCACTAGACACTGATCAGCCTTTTAAAGAATATGCATATAATATTAGTGAGAGTATTCATTGGTAAGAACCAGTAATAACATTATTCAAGCTGGGTTCATATTTTTTATTTTACATGTTTGGTTATGACTATTTCAGGTGTGAAATTCGAAATAATTTTCCTTTGCTGAGAATTGCTCAATTTTAATTTTAAAAGACTGGAATACGTGAAAATAAATCACAGATCTGAAAGATGGAAGTGTCAGACATCTGTAACCCAAATCAACATAAAAAGACTTCCCCTCATTTCCCTACAACCAAAAGTGTCATCCAGACTCTCAAGTTTGGCAGTGTCAACTCAAAGATCGAATCCTCTCAATATAGAAGCAATCAGAATCAACACTCAAATTCTTTACGCTCAGAGTTGTTTCACAGACACATGAACTCGTGTCAGTTATCAAAAGAGCATGAAAATGTGACTGAGAGTTGTGGTAGCTCACCGAGCGGATTAATTCCTGATTGTTGTAAGTCTAGTGACAGTGTGTTTACGATTAGTCCGTTGGTAAATAAGTCACAGAATGTAGAACGATATCGCAATAATTCTGGGGACAGCAATTACTCTGTTTCTAAATTTGATAACAGTAGCAGCCCTGATAATAAATCAGTCACTAATAATAACAATAATTATCTTCCTTTCACAAACTGTAGTTCAGGGATGACTCATGCTGTATTATTTAAAACACAACAAGGAGAACACAGTCCATCCTCTTCAACAAATAGGAATGATAATGGCAGCTCAACCTGTTTTAAAACACCAGCTCATGATGATAATTATCGTAGTCCTGGTTATACTCACATCAAAACACCGGTACGAAACAATACTCCCAGTCCTTCAAGTATTCGTACGCCAAAAGATTCTCGTATTCCCGTCACGTCGCCAATGGGAGTTAACTTCACACCTGAATCAAGAATTATAAATCCATTTGATGATGGTACTGAAAAGTTAAATCTGCCGACATTCAGTCCGTCCATGTTTACAGTCGCCTCAACTCCTTCAACTGATGGCCGAGCACCTGTAAGTATACTTTGAGACTTTGTTTTTTATTGTAACAACTTTAGTAATGATGATCGAGGCTAGCCTAAAATTCAAAAGCTCATATATCGGTTCAGAGTGGAGCAATCTGACTGAAATTTTCAGCACACATTATCTATTTTGTAACTATTATACACATGTAGCGAGAATTGTCAACTCTTTCTAATCTCCCATAATGTCCCTTTAACTAAAATAACCGAGGTGAGTATAAAATGGCTCGCTAACCATGAGTTTGAGGATTCAGTTATGTTTGTTGGCTGAGAAAGTTGTTAAGAAGATTTTACTGTCTGTTTCCTCCTTGTCAGTGGTGCAGGCTGGAGAGACTGGCTAGGAAAAGTGTCACTTTGTTTGGATGGGCATGAGGTCTTGTGTATACCATTCCGATTCTAAACTCGTTAAAGATTGCATAACAGTTTGAAACCAAAATATAGAGTAGGCCATAGCATTGCTGCCTTGGCAAAATTTCCCTCATACTAAAGTATGCCTGTCTTGAGTAGCCCTGTTTGTGTATAAAAGTAAGACATTAATCTCCATTTCCTTATTTTTTCATCCCATTCAAACGATTAGGCAACACATGCCCATTTCATTTCATTTTTGACCCATTCAACCAATTAAGCAACACATGTTGCATGTTGTTAGCCTGACCCATGAGAAAAATGTGAACAAGGTTTGAAATTCCAGAGATTGTTCTGGGTACCCACCATGCAGTCAGAATATAACATTCTATATTATTTAGTCTATATTTAGGTTGTGAATAATTATTACTGATATTTGATTATTTCTTGGAGACGGGCCCCTACTGTGATGTTTGTATACATTTTGATGAGACAGGCTTGTTCATTAGGCAGGAACAACCTGACAACATGAAAAAGTAGTCAATATCTTGTTTAATTGTTTGAATTTTTATAGAAGCCGTTTCGATGGTCTATAGATCAGATGGCAGCCCTACATCCAGCTGATATAGATGAGATGCCCCACCATCAACATAGATACGTCTCGTAAGTCTAAACTTTACACCATCAAGATAGGTAGGTCTTGCATGTTTAAACTCTACCCCATAGAAAGATCTCACGATTTTATAATTTAGATACCAAGATACATGTAGATAGGTCTCACAAGTTTAAACTTTACCCCATTACGACAGGTACAAATATACATGTAGGTCTCACAAGTTTAAAATTTACCCCATCAAGATAAATATCTCACAAGTTTACCCAATCAAGACAGATATGTCACACAGGTTTAAACTTTACCCAATCAAGATAGATGTCTCACAAGTTTAAACTCTACCCCATCAAGATAGAATGTCTCACATTTTTAAAGTTTAAACTTTACCCAATCAAGATACATACATTGTACATGAATGTCTCACAAGTTTAAACTTTACCCAATCAAGAAAGAATGTCTCACATTTTTAAAGATTAAACTTTACAAAATCAAGATAGATCTTACAAGATACACGTAGATCATACATGTAAATACATACTGTATCTCATCACAAGGTTAAACTTTTCCCCTTCAAGATAAAATGTCTCACATTTTTAAAGTTTAAACTTTACCCCATCAAGATAGATAGATCTCACAAGTTTAAACTTTACCCTATCAAGATAGATTTTTCTCACAAGTTTAAATTTTTATCTCACATTTTTAAACTTTATCCCATCATTTAAATCATGGAAACAAATTTGACTTAGTTTTAATGGTTCATTACTGCATAGATACAGAGATCCCTCTATATCCAAAGCACATACAAGTTGATGATACAAGTCTTTTTGTTTATTTTGTGGTTTTGTTTTCTTGCAGACCTGATCGAGAGATGGAAGAGAGAGCACAGAAAGCTATAGATGATTACTTTGCTAACCATATCATAGCACCGTCACCCTTTAATCCTAACCCTAAACCTTTTACATTACCTTCTACACCCACAGCACAGATGGGTAAGTTTATAAGATGACCAATAAGTGTTCAATTTAGAAACAATACAAAAGGTTTTAGAAATGATATGAAATGAAATGGGGTTTAACGTCCTACTGTTCTGCTACTATACTGGGTTAATGAAGAGAGGCATACGCCATACAGTGTGTTATGAGGGAAATTTTGTCCGGCCAGCGGCACTATAGCCTACTCTTATATCGAATTCCAACTGCCAGGGACCTCGGTTTTTCATGTCATCCGAAGGATTAGACAGCTGTCCTTGTCAGGCCCTCCGTTCTGCACCACTGACAAGGGGAAACCACGTCGGAAAATCTGGATGAACTTTCTCTGCCAATGCAGGGATCGAACACCCGGTCTCTAGGCTAGTGAGCCAGCGTCTTAACCACCTAGCCACCGTGGCTCCGTTTTATAAATGACTTATTTTGTAGAGAAGTGAAAGGGGTATTTCAAACTTAGGTCTCCTGCTTCAGATTAAATCAAAAAATGGATAATCGAGACCATGTTTTTTATTGTACCGACTTTAGTAATGATGATCAAGGCTAGGCCCAAAATTCAATCGCTAAATACTCGGTTCAGGGTGGATCAATTTGACTGAAATTTTCAGCTAATTCCCTGTATCTAGTTTTTAACTATTATAGTGAGAACTACCAGCTCTTTATCTAATCTTCCATAATGTATCTTTAAATGACAGACTGTGTCACAAAGTCGTATTTGAGAATCAGAACATTTTTTGTTTTGTATCACTCAATGTATTGTGATGTGTGATATTTTAACAGTTTGTATGATGTCTATAAATGTAATGTATGATATTTTAACAGGTTGTATCATGGCTATAAATGTAATGTATGATATTTTAACATGTTGTATTATGGCTATATATGTACGTATGATATTTTGACAGGTTGTATGATGGCTATAAATGTATGTATGATATTTTGACAGGTTGTATGATGGCTATAAATGTAGAAGAATTAAAGGGCTCGATACAGAAGGAATTAACGGGAAGAAAAACTAGAACACAAGATGGTGAGTGATGACAGAACTCAATTCTGTATTACTCTTGTACTAGTTGTAGATCTGTTAATTTTGAACAATCATTTTCACTTTTCTGTAAATGTTTTGTTTTTCTATCTAAAAGATTTATCAACCTCTTTAAAAGCTGTTAGGCCTTTAAAAACAGATTTGGGGAAGAAAGGAATTGTATTGCTATTGTTGCAAGGATGTGTTTGTGTTTTGGGTGGGTGAATCTGAACACACCATCTGCCAACACCAATAAAACAGAAGGCAGTAGAAACAATTTGTTCTGAATTATAATATAACATTTTTTACTACCAGCTGGCTGAACACAAATGAGCAAACTAAATGTGAACCACAAGAATAGATTCAGGGCTGGCCACGAATAAATTGATGGCGAGCAGATGACTGCTCACGCAAATTTAGGTTAGGGCGAGCAATAAAAATTGCTCACGCAAAATGTTGTTTGCGTGAGCACACATTTTGTAACATTGTTTCAATTTAAAATCATAAGAAAATTGCTATTCCTGGCACAAAGTTTGCAGTAAACATGTGTGACCATCGCTTTCTGTTTTTGACAGTCATACGTACTCTTCTTTATTAAAACCAATTTCCGTATGGATTTCTTCACCCCACGAAATAAATGTGGATAGGGCAATCAGGTTGCCTTTGGCCATTATTACGCTTAGATTGAAAATTATACGACTGCACAATGGAATAAAAACCGAAGTTCTGATAAAATAGGAAATACAGATAAATATTAGTTTGAAACGTGTTCATTTAGCGTGAATGCCAAATGCCGGATGTAAACATTCTTTACTTTAGACACGATTATCACGTGTTTGTTACTGGTGTTCGTAGGAAAACCAGTCATGACGTTCAGGTCTAAAGTGTATTTTTAGTAACACAAGTTGCGAGTAACTTTATTAGCCAATCAAATTTCAGGAGGAAATGCCGTGTGCAGCTGGGTGAATCTCAGTTTGACAGACGAATTTATGACGTTATTGACATTGTTGGGTTAGTTTCGGCAATAAACTTGTCAATACTTTGATTATTTTTACAGGGTTTTCTTAAAATTTTGCGCGAGCAATGAACCGCTCGCGTAAATGTAGATTTACGCGAGTGCGAGCAGTTGCTCGCGTCTCGTGGCAAGCCCTGAGATTTGTTTTCTGTTAATGTAGTCCCCCAATTGACATGGTTTGTATTGAGTGGACATAAATCCCCATTTCTCTCTATCATTCTTCAATTTGTGTTGATTTTTTTTTTTCAGCCTCATGTCAGACCATATTAACTCTACCAACAGATTTAGACATGTATAAAGTATTAGGTACGTAAATATTATATTTTAGTAGGTCGGTTTCATGTTGTATTGTCAGCCTCTGGAAAGGAGGTAGGTCCTGGCAAGGTAGAGTGTCTTGTCGTTCAGATAGGATGAAAAAAACCAAACATTGTCCTGTATAAACATGCATGTAAATGATATTCTGATAGTCGGAATTTGTCTGGCTAATGAAGACAGCTATTCTCCATGTACATGTAGCGTGTTATGAGGGTAATTTTGCCTTGAGAGCAGAGCTGCAGCCTTATGTCAGGGAATTTTTAACTTGCTACAAATGGTGTACTGTGCATGAGACCCCTGCAAATTCCAGCACCTATGATTTGGCTCCCAAAAGAAATAAGTGTACTGCGCAAGTGGTAACGAATCAATACATGCTACCGAATGTGTATGAAGAGAGCTTTATTTTTGTATGGACCTAAACACTTAAACAGAATCTAGTACATTAATGCCAGGATTGTAACAACAACCTCAAAATATTCACCCATGTCATCCCAAGCTTTCACCGTTTTCAAGTAACACCTTTTATTAATTGTTTTACAGAGCAATATATGACGTATAAACCAGAAACAGAGACAAATACCAGCGATGAATTAAGTACTTCGTCTTTACGGAGAAAACTTTTCTTTCAAGGGGATGGGAATACCTCGTTTAGTCCAGTCAAGTAAGATTTATATATTGTTTGTTTTGAGAGAGGTGGGGAAAGGGGGGATAATCTGGATTGTACAGATCTTTAAATCTGTAAATATAAGTAGGACATTTAAAATCACTGTGCACCAGATTCAAATCCTGGTCTGTCTGAATAAGGTCATATTCCATCATTAAGTTTTTATTGATAAGTTTTCATTGCTAAGTAGGGTCGCCTGTCCAACCTCATGGGTTTTCTCTGGGTCCTCCGGTTTCCTCCCACTACTAAAGACCCCTTTGATGTTGTTATCTTACCATGAAAATATTGGGATCCTGATATCCAATATTTAAGACACAATTAAAATTTTATATAATCAATACACAGCTGATGTGTTCTATGGTTTTGGGTGACATTTGTAATGAACAAAAAAAAGTATTTAGTAATGGCTGATTCACAAAAGATTAAACGATAATAAAATAAAGGTGTAGAATGGACTAAGCAGGTATAAAATAAAGGTGTAGAATGGACTAAGCAGGTGTAAATGACTTTCATTCAATTTGGTTTGTTTTTCGTATTTCACCAAACATAATTGATTGGAATTTATAATAAATTTTTTTAAATTTAGTATAAATCACATTATATACATTCATATTATGGTAATAAGTGCTTTTATGGCAAGAGGAGAAATGGAGTTTAACTAGGTCATTTCAAGACTAAGATATGGTTCAATTTTATTTCAATAATTTGCTTGCACATAGAGGTCTTTTACTCTTTAGCAGTGGGAGGAAACCTAAGGACCCAGAGAAAACCCACTCCTTGTCACATACAACCGGGGAGTGGAAACCATGCCAGTTGACTCAATGACAGACCTTATGATACAGCATGCACGCACTAACCATTTGGCCATCCCACCCCCTCCCTTGCTTTTATGGCTCATTTTCGTCTATTATATGATTCCAACAAATAGTGCTATACGCGCTATATGTTGTCTTGAGCATGCAAATGGATATGATTTATTTTTATATGCCCACATTGAAATGTGGTCGTATATTGTCGTCACCTCCATCCGTCCGGCGTCCACAATTGCTTGTGGACGCTCTAGAGGCTAAAGTTAATATCTGATAGACTTTAAATTAATACACAGTGTTTAAGGTCATGAGACGAAGAAGCCTATTGATTTTCAGCGATTTCCGATAATTACTGCCAGAGTTATGGCTCTTGATCACTTCAAAACATCTTGTGGATGCTCTAGAGGCTAAAGTTAATATCCGATTGACTTTAAATTTATACACAGTGTTTAAGGTCATGAGACGAAGAAGCCTATTGATTTTCATTGATTTCAGATAATTACTGCCAGAGTTATGGCCCATGATCACTTCAAAAAATCTTGTGGACGCTCTAGAGGCTAAAGTTAATATCCGATTGACTTTAAATTTATACACAGTGTTTGAGGTTATGGTTCTTGATCACTAATTTTCAATAATTACTTCCAGAGTTATGGCCCTTGAACACTTCAAAAATCTTGTGGACGCTCTAGAGGCTACAGTTAATATCCGATTGACTTTAAATTTATACACAGTGTTTGAGGTTATGGTTCTTGATCACTTTGAAAAATCTTGTGACGCTCTAGAGGCTAAAGTTATCATCCGATTGACTTCAGATTGATACACAGAGTTTAAGGTCTTGAGACGAACAAGTATATTGATTTTCAATGAATTTTTATGACTTGAACAACTAAATCCATGATGTTTAAAGTTCGTATACTAAACATTAGCATGGGGCAGAACTTTATAAAAACCAAACAAATTCTAATGGTTTTCTGATAATTACTTAATTAGTTGTTACTCTTAATCAGATTTTAATGTATTATAAATGTTTAATTACCGAAAAAAGTAAAAATATGTGACAACTCTTGTTGACTCCCCGGACGATTTAGCTGCTGTGGGTGTATGTTTCGTTGCCTGGCAACCTATCTTTTAATTGTCTGTTGATCTATTGGTAGATTGTGTAGTGAAGCAGCCATGATTTTAGATAGTCCAGGTGTTTCTCCTATTAAAAAACAACAAACACCAGAATGGGAGAGAAAAACACCGCTCAAAACTCCATCTTCAGTAAGGGGTTTTAAATTATTCCTTTACAATATATTTAATAAGTCATCAGATCTAGGGGCATCAGTGGTTGGGTTGCTAGGGAACTATAAATACAACCAGAAGTGATCCAATTCAAATCCTGACATGGGCTGGGGAGAATCATCAGGGTTTTTTAAGGTTTTTCTCTACCTGTTGAGTCATTAGACCAATCGGAGCAGAACAGTAGGACATTAAACCCCAATTCATTTCACTACCTATGGAACTAATGTAAGAGAAGTGTGTCATCTCAGCCATATTGGAAATGTGACGGCTTATTAAAAATATGTCAATTGATGCAGAATTGTCCAAAGAATAAGCCTAGTTTTGTGTCGCTCGTAGATCTGATAGAGCCTTATTTGGAAGATTGTTGTCCCAAGAAGTAGATTATCAAGTGTATGGAACCAGTGTCTAGTTTAAAAACTTTAATGAAAATATTTATTTTTGATCCTCAGGCCCAATTCGCATCTAGTCCTATCCGTACCAATTCTTCCAAGAAATTCACTCAACTACGAAGATCTTCTTCCGAGACAGAGTTTATGGCATCACCAGAGTTATCTCCCATTAACAGACGACATTCTGGAGGACCGTCATGTAAGATTTCCCAATCATAATTTTGAAAGTTGTGTGTAAGGCAGGGTATGCCCACTCTTTCCGGGGCATGTGTTGGCCAACCAATGTTTTTGAAATCTTTGATCTCTCGAAAATTATTCTGCCAACACATGTTCAAGTTGATATCCAATGCACACCAGCTAACTTGTCAGAAAACATTGTTCCGCAAATCTGCGTTGAGCTTTAGGCTACACAAATTAAAAATAAAATCTTTTTGTTTGAAATGTGTTTTATTATTGTTGATTGTATTTCAGTACGTAAATCGAGATCTTCTGGTGAGTTTGCTCCCATGTCAAGTTTGTGTACAAGTCCTATACAAGAAGATTACTCTGACCAAGAGTTCCCTCCCCTTCCCAGTCCAAACATGTCTCCCATCAGAAAAGAACTTGGTGCCTCCTATCTACCTGGTAAGATTAACTCTTTTTACAGCCTTATATTGAGGCCATTTTTCAGTGTCAAACGCTGATTTATTGACCTATGAATGATAGTATTAATTAGCTGTCTGGATGTTGAGAGAGAGAGAGAGAGAGTTTTTGAACTAACATATAGTTCAATTTTATTTCAATAATTTGCTTGTGCCTAGGGGTCTTTAGCAGTTGGAGGAAACAAAAGGACCCAGAGAAAACTCCATGAGGTTGGACAGGCAACCCTACTCCTTGTCAAATACAGGCGGAGAATCGAAACTATGCCACTTGACTCATTGACAGACCTTATGATATAACGCGCGTGTTAACCATTCGTCCATCCAACACCCAATGATGTGAAAGCCTGTCAACAAATTTCTCTTTCACCTAACAGATCTCATGGAATTTTATAACTTGGAGTATGCAAGATTCCCCTCATTCACACTCTCATACCTAAAGGTCCTGTACATTAACTCACTTTTGCAAACTTCAATACAGGGAAAGTTCAATCTATAAAAAGGAATATCGGCCCAAAAATGGATTGTTTGCAGTTAGTATTTACAAATCAGTGACCACGCTTTCATTATGTATATCATGTCTTGAAAATTTAGCAAACATCCTGCAGACGATAAAAACAAGGCCTGTCCAACCTTGTGGGTTTTCTCTAGGTCTCGTGGTTTCCTCCCACTGTTAAAGACCCCTACGCGCAAGCAAATTATTTAGATAAAATAAAACCATATGTTAGTCCCAAAATGACCTACTTTGTGTCGAGTGGATGTTAAACCCCATTTCTCTCTTTTTATCAAATAATAAATACTAACCAATTTGTTGAGTACATTTAAGCGTGGATTGTAGCGTGAAAAATTAAATATTGTCTGACGTTCAGCAATGGAAGACCTATTTCTCGTTCAGCTGAATGGATTGTAGCGTGAAAAATTAAATATTGTCTGACGTTCAGCAATGGAAGACCTATTTCTTGTTCAGCTGAATGACCTGCCACATGTAATAACTATATATTTATTCTTTTTTAGATAATGATGATTGTTCTGACGAATCAACACCCCAAGCCTCAAATCCACGATCATACAACAGCAAGGCTAGCCAGTTCACACTCTCTCCTCAATTTCATACGATAGACACGGTGGGAGGTTCGCCATTAATCACGGAGGCTACTGCCATGGAAACTGAATCTTACAAACCACCTCATCCATTGACGGACATTAACGATTTCTCAATTACCGATATGGAGACAACCAGCGACTCGGCTCCGTTGCCAAATTCCACCAATCAGGACACAGGATATCAAACAGCTAGTATTCAGTTGACAAGTCTGCACACTAACTTGACCAGTCAATTCAGTTCGCTTCCTCTTAAAACCGAAAGTAGCATTGATCCCAATGACCTCGGTGATAGCTTTAACTACAGCCAATCAAATCGTTCATCTGTTTTTGACTTGGACTCGGAAGGTGGTGATGGAATAAGACAGTTCGATACAGATTCTGTTTTATCGGAGGGAAAGGGATTCGACAAAGCGAAGCATGCTCTTGAAATGGTTACAAGTCTGTACCCGGAGAGTCTGGATGTTTCATTGAATCCTGTTGGATCATCGACACCGACAAAAGGAATAGTGAGAAATCCTGTACAACAGCGATTGTTTAGAGATCATCTCTCTGATGACCTTGACCTCGCTCAAGATAAACAATTAGGCAGTAAGTAGAGTTGTTAATTTTGTTGTTGTTTTTTTTTTCAGATATATTATTTTTTTTAGAAAGCTTTGTGATTGTGATTGAACCTTGGTACACTGATGTATATACATGTAGCAAAGTTACCAATCAAGTTTGCGTGTCAGGACTTTTACTAGGTTATAGCCCTTTGTTGAAAATTCTGTTTTAGGTTAAATTTTGAGGTATTTAATTTACTGCTAAATATATAAATGTACATGTAGAAGGGTTACATTTTGTCCCATCCGAACGACTAGACAGCTGTCCTTGTCAGGCCCTCCGTCCTGCATCACTGACAAGGGGAAACCACACCGGAAAATCTGGATGAACTTTCTCAGCTAATGCAGGAATCGAACACCCGACCTCCAGGCTAGCGAGCCAGTTTACAGAATGTATTCCATCTATATTCATTTGGATTGTATATTCACAGAAATGTATTTGCAGTGTCAGCCTCTTATTGATGCATCGTGGGGTGCAAGGGTAGTTGGCCAAATGGCGTAAGGTCTGTCATCGAGCTAAGTCTCCTGGTTTTGATTCCCTACTTGTACGTGACAAGAATTGGGGTCATCTATTCGACCTCGTGGGTTTTATCCTGGTCCTCCGGTTTCCTTCCGCAGTTAAAGACCCCTATGCAAAAGCATTTTGTTGAAATAAAATTGAACCATGTGTTAGCCCCGAAATTGTCCAGTTTTTGACAAGTGAAAGTTAATATAGATGCATTGTAAAATTTGTAGTTTCCAGTAGGGTAGGGGACTTTTATTGATTCACCAGTAGGCTAGGGGACTTTTATTGATTCACCAGTAGGGTAGGGGACTTTTATTGATTCACAAGTAGGGCAGGGGACTTGTATTTATTCACCAGGAAGGAAGCCGACTTGTATTTAATCACCAAGAGTGCTAGTTTATTATGTGACCTGATTAATAATTGTCACTGTATTTGTCTCATTCTGGTATTGGCAAAGAAAGTTTCTCAAGATTTTGAAGTCTAGTTTCCCCCCTTGTCAGCAGTGAAGAATAGAGGGTCTGGCAATGAGCGGTGTGTAGTATATGCATGGGACTAAAAACCAAGTTCCAACTGCATTCACAATGGTGTGGATGTAAAATACCCCATTCAGTTGGAATCTTAAGAACGAATGGCCATGTGGGCAAAATTTCCCTCCTAGCACACTGTATGGCATAAATCCCCTCCCAGACTTTATCAGCCAAGATGAGACAGTCAGAAAACCTGCCATTTCTACATTTTATTTTTATGTTTTTGCAGGTGCAGTAGCTTTGGAGATATTAAAACGTGCTGGTGATGATTTGGCCAGATATACAGCGTCTGTTGTCACGGAAACTCAGTAGAATACACAAACTCTGTTGTCATGGAAACTCAGTGAAATACACAAACTCTTTTTTCACATAAACTCAGTAAAATACCATACTCTGTTGTCATGGAAACTCAGTAAAATACACAACTCTGTTGTCAGTAAACTCTGTGAAATACACAAACTCTGCTGTCACAGAAACTTGTTGAAATACACGAACTCTGTTGTCATGTAAACTCAGTGAAACACACAAACTCTGTTGTCATGGAAACTTAGTGAAATACACAAAACTCTGTTGTCACAGAAACTCAATGAAATCCACAAATACTTATTAAAATATAAAACAATCTCTAGTGTGATGAATATGTCTTCAAATCAGTAGTCTTCCATATCTGTCCATGAAACTTCTATAAACAAATAATCTTTTAGTCTTTCAAACATTAAATGGATCTATAAGTGAAGGGCATAATCCATAGAATAGAATGAAAAGGTCATTGTCCATTGGTTCACTTCATACCTCCAAGCAATCATGCTGTCCATGGATTCACTTTGCATGCAGGATAATTTATAAGACTTTTTTCCATAAAACAGTATAAATAGAACGTTTTCATGAAGATACCAATGTATACCAAAGTTTTTAAAATATATTTCATGCATGATGTGTCAAATAAATATTTTTCAATTTATCAGGAATATCAAATATTTTCGGAAAAGTGAAGGTCACGATGGTGCTTAATTGTTGTGTTGTTTTGTTTTTGAAGAATCAACTACAATTAATAATATGGTCAGTTTTTGCTGTATTTCTCATGTTAGTGGAGAACTTCTTGGTACCTGTCCATCAATTTATAAACCATAAAATTAGAATTCCAACAAATTTAATACTAAAGCACAATAAATACGGTTATAATTATGTTATTATATATGTGTGTTTTAAAAAATTGCAATAATGCTAAAAATTGTCATATTCTCTTGAAAAAAATATCTTGGTAAACTGACTGGCCAGCAAGAAGTTGAGGGTATCTACTTTGATGATAACAGATTCATAGCTTGGATCTCAATGGCTGGTGTGGGCGTATGTTTTCTTTGCCTGGCAACCTATCATAGTTTTTAGAGGGGAAGAACATGGAGTTTTTTTTAAGTGATAGGGTAGTGAAAATCATGTTCTATTTTTTGTGGGGAGATGCTAATTGTAGCGGGTTGGGGCGAGGTTCGGGTGTTTCCGTAGTCCGAAATGGCCTGGTTATATAAATGATAATTTTGGCGAATCCTAACCCTAACCCTTTTTAGAAGACTGAACTTGGATCCAATTTACCTATTACCCCTCATAAAAGGGTTAGGGTTCTGGTCCGTATTCTCCAAAATACTCATTTATATAAAGCGGCCATTTTAGACTCCCAAACCTCCCCAACTGGCCTACAATTAGCATCTCCCATTTTTTGTAGTTCAATTATAATTTATGATAATTTTTTGGGGTATTTTATTTTTATAGTTGATTGTGTAATGAATATTATAATTGATGATGTTGGAGCTATGTTTTTGTATTTTTGTAATTAAATTAAATCATGTTTGTCCTGCCTAGTCAATTTGTAATATTGCTCAATAAAATATTTTTATAATTTAATATCTCTGACTTGATTCTTATTCAAAAGGACTGTTGTTGTCAAACGGTTCAACCCCAGTCAGATATTTGGCCAGGGTAGGGCTACGGTGAGCAAACCGGGACCAACCGTGTTGATCCATGGCGAAACCGTGTTGTAAAATGTTTTTAAACAACAGGGTCAATCGTGCCAATCAGTGGTGGCATTGTAATATCACGGAGGACGACGGTGAACCGGGAAATCGAAGACGTACCGTATCAAACTGTGGTAATAACTTTAGTAGTATCGGCACCTGTCGTGGCCATACCGCAGTAAACCCGCGAACTAGACTGTTTTCCAGCTAAAATTGCCCCTTGGGCAATACTGGGAATGTGTCGCTTAGGCTTGAGGAAAACAGTTGTCCAGTGTTAAGGGGCAACAGTAGTCAAGCGGTTGTCGATCGGTTAAGGACAGCAGCTAGGGCTGTAGTCTACCCGTTAAGGACAACTGTCAAGCGGTTTAGGGATTTAGTTACCCCTTTCGACTCAGATTTCCCATGTTTCACATGAAACATTATGAAACAAATATAACCGAAACAATATGTAGGCCTACCTTAATAGGCGGCTGGGTGCCAAAATGGTTTAATGGGTGCACATTTGACCACGGGGCTTATCCAACCTCGTGACTTTTCTACGGGTTATCCCACAGCGAAGACCCCAACGCGCAAGCGAATTATTGAAATAAAATTAGAACTATGTTAGTCTTGAAATTAGCTAGTTTGTGTCGAGTGGACGTTATGACCCAAAGCAGCAAAGTATATTAGCCCAGAACATTGTATGGCGGACTTGCTCGCATAGTCGTACGGGCTCGATGACTGTTAATGGAACAGAAACCGAAATGCCAGAAAAAAAAACCTCGGGTTACAGACGGCGGCGCTAGTCGTCTTCGAGAGGCGAAGGGGTGAAGCTTATGGTGTAGGGACCGCGCAAGGGAATCTGGAAAATTTAACGGCTGCAAACGCGTTTTCCCGCTATTCCAGCCTGTGAATGCAGCCACTTTAAAGGGGTCTAATATCGCCAAATTTAGGTGACCGACTCGAATTCCAATCAATTGTTTACAGTCCACAGAGATGGTACCGTGTAGTGCTATGCGTCGCTGGTAAGATGTGGAAAACACAGATGCCAAAAAGTCCCCACAGCCAACGTGTGACGCATACTCCCTTCTCAACTATCTGGCAACTTTCAAAACCTAAAAAGCCTAGTAGCCAGGGTCCTGGGGCCACAGGCCCCAGTTAGCCCAGGACATGGTTCTGGAGGGGGGGTCAGGGGGGCGAAGCCCCCCCCCCCCCCCCGACGCAAAATGAATATTAGCATTCAGATAGGTTAAAATGTGGCGAAAATCATTACATTCCTACCACAATCATAGAGACTTTCGACCAAAAATAATACTGGAAAAGTCATAAAGGTTGATAAGATATATTTATTCTATTAGCTACCTTAAATTTAATGAACAGTCATGTTGATAAATAGTATGAAATTATACCATTATATTGGCAGTTATGCTGTCAACCTTTCACAAGAATGCAGTTTGCGTAATTTTCACCCTTTCTTGAACGGATAATTACTCCTGGGTAGGCTTTGGAATATTCCTCATGGAATAACTGCAATTTTCTTTTCGGTTTTACACTCCGGCTGATTCCATGATTGTTCACTCGTTTGGAAACAGACTGGTGCCTCGTGCTTGGCAGCAGAGCTATAAATAGCTTTACGCATACAGTAGCATTTGGAATGGCTCGACAGAAAGTTACGATAAAGCCGTGCCGATTGTCTTTGCATTGAATTACGGTACAGCTATTTCGCGATTTCGTGAATAAAACTTTTCAACAAATTCTAATTTTTGGAATATTTTTAATGAAAAACCGTATTTTATATCAATGCAGCCGTAACCCGGAATAAGTTGATGGAAACCGTACATGTTACGGTAAAACCGGAGTAGTTGGCAAGCCTTGGGATCGTCAGTATTATGTTTGCAATTCTCTTCTTATGACTAGGACCCCTTTTCACGTTGTGTATTTTCTTCTTACTGTCTCATGAATTATGACATTTATCTACCAGAAATAACAATGCAACAGTTCGTTTCTACATTTTATATCAAGCACTGGATACATAGGTTACAAGCTTAGGTTACATTACAATACTAAAAATTAACATATCTTTCTCTACAACCCCTAATTCGCAGATCAAGTTTACTGGCGGAATACACTACACCATATGGCTCCCCTACAAATCAATGGGGTCTACTCAATCCAGAGGGCATCTCTAAGAATCTAGCAGCTGTCTAAAGTCTATTCTAATATTATTATTATTATTATTATTATTCGATTTATATAGCGCTTCATTACACGTGAAGTGTTTCTAAGCACATATCACAAACATATACTTCAAACACACAGAAACAATCAAAATCAGGAGAACATAATTAAACACAGCTGCCTGTTAGGCGCTATTATTCAAAGGTTTATATCCAGCAAATCAACCGGCTAATCTCAATATTGAACTCAGTCGAGGTATTACCTGATGAACACCTACACCAAGTAGAGTTCAAAAATAAAAACGAAGTTTAAAAGAATCAACTTCATTAACAAAAATTAAACAATCAAAAACTAAACAGATAAATCAAATTCAAACGAAACAAATAAAACAAAGAAAATGAAAAGAGCAGTTCGTTACCATTCTACATTAACAAAATAAAAAAGTAAGTTGTACTCAACCCCTAAACACATTAACAGTACCGTTAACACCTTTATCACTAAAACATTCATGTTATTTCACAACGGACAATGTGATGATCATTACTGTGATTTAAAGCGTTTTGAAGGAGACTCTGTCATCTCTGCATCTTTTTCTTGTTTTCCTTTCCCCAACCAATTCATCATAAAATTACTGCCAGCAGATTTCTTTGGTTTCTGTGGGTCTATTTTTTTTTTTTTAGTCAAGAACCACCCTTAAATGGACAGTAGAAACTGTCCACCAGGAGATCAGGCGTTTTACCTTGTTTGCAATCAAGAAACACTTGTTTACCAAATGAGCGGTGGATGGCCGAATGGTCAGCGCATGCGCACTGCATCATAATGTCTGTCATTAAGTCAACTGGCGTGGTTTCGATTCCCCGGTTGTACGTGACAAGGAGTAGGGTCTGGTATCCAACCTCGTGGGTTTTCTCCGGGTCCTCCGGTTTCCTCCCACTGCTAATGAGCCCTACGCGCAAGCGACCCATTGAAATAAAACTGAACCATATGAACAAACCTAGTTTGTGTCGAGTGAACGTTACCCCGCCCCCCTCTCTCTCTATCTCTCTGGTTTGTGAGTATAGCAACATCAATGTAATCCCATATAACGTACCTTAGGTGGCTGACCCGAAACCCAAAATATCCAACCAATCGTAGCAGGGTAGATTTCGAGCAATTTATTTTGTCAACTAGACGAAATAATAATTTTTGTTTGAACTTTACCCGTCCGCCCAAAAAGTCAGATTGCCCGAAAGTTAGGGGTGCAGCCCCACCCCTCCCTGCCCCCTGGCAGGACATAAGTGAGAAGGGCACATTGACGCGCTTTGCGTCATGGTTTTGAGTTTTTGCGCCCCCTTGGGTTTTTGCTTATTGGGGGCCCGGATGGGGTCTTGTTCCTCATGCAAAATTATCGGTCACCACGCCCCTGCCTCATGGGTCGTACGGCTATGCATGCACGTCTTCATTAGCCCTGCATTATACTATATAACAACAAGAACGGTAACGATATTTTACAACACTAAAAGCCTTACAGAATTAAAGCTATCAATATTTTCAATCATCACATATCTGCTTCGTTCTGCTCAGATTGTTTAAAGACGGTATAACGACCGTCCACTTTATGGAAATTGATCTGATTGTTTGTTTTACGACTTAATTCGACCTTTAGTTGATTGACTGCATTCTCTTCCTGTAAAACATAAAGGCAAAATGAAATGGGGTTTAACGTCCTACTGTTCTGCTCCGACCTGGTCTAATGAAGAGGGGCATACGCCATAAAGTGTGATATAATGGCAATTTTGCCCGGACAGCAGCACTGCGACCTACTCTTATATCGAATTCCAACTGTCAATGAATCTTTTACATGCACGCTAATTTGTACACGGGACCTCGGTTTTTCGTCCCATCCGACCTGCATCACTGACAAGGAGGAACCACGCCGGAATATCTGGATGAACTTTCTCGACCAATGCAGGGATCGAACACCCAACCTCCAGGCTAGCGAGCCAGCGTCTTACCCACTTTGCCACCGTAATCCCTCTATATAAAGGCAGAAACAAACACCTAATTATATTTATATTATTTAGTTCAAATAGACCAGGGAGGCCGAATGGTTTAACGCATGTGCGCTAGATAGCAAGGTCTGTCATTGAGTCAAGTGGTGTGGTTTCGATTCTCCGCTTGTACGTGACAAAGAGTAGGGTCCCCTGTCCAACCTCGTAGGTTTGCTCCGTGTCTTCAGGTTTCCTACCACATATGTTAGTTCTGAAATGACGTAGTTTGTGGCGAATGAACTTTAACCAAACTCTTGTACCCTTCTCGCTCTCGGTAACGTACCGGGAGAGAGAGAGAGAGAGAGAGAGAGGGAGAGCTGGATTGAAATCTAATGGAGTTTAACTTTGAATTCCAACCGTCAAGGGTTCTTTTACGTACGTCAACGAGTATGTACGGTAGGACGCCGGTTTTACATACTTATCTCTTTTAACACCGGGCTCGAACCCGTGGCCTCGTCCTACTGACTGAACCACTGTGGCCAGTGAGTGATGTTTCAGATGTGTCCTCTCTCGGTACGATCCCTGGTGATGGTTGTTCCCTAAACTGAACTTCTAGTCCACCAAATTCCACCCACACCCACCAATCCTCATCCTCGAGTTTATATTCTCCAAACCCGTTTATATTTATAGGTTCTTACCTCTAAGAGTTCTTGTTTCAGTACAGCCAATTCTTTACAGACTTCAGCAAAGGTTTTCGATTCAATTAATCCTACAGGTCGGTTCACTACAATAAATAAAAATGAAATGAAATGAAATGTTGTTTAACGTCCTACTGTTCTGCTCCTAATCTGGGCTAATGAAGACAGGCATACGTAATACAGTGTGCTATGAGGGAAATTTTGCCCGAGCAGCGGCGCTACGGCCTACTCTTATATCGAATTCCAACAGCCAAGGGATCTTTTACGTGCACGCCAATGTGTACACGGTACCTCGGTTTTTCGTCCCATCCGAACGACTAGACAGCTGTCCTTGTCAGGCCCTCCATCCTGCATCACTGACAAGGGGAAACCACGCCGGAAAATCTGAATGAACTTTCTCGGCCAATGCAGGGATCGAACACCACTTAGCCACGTGATCCCCTACACAATAAATAAAAAGTTGAATAAGAAGAATAATATCTTACTCGATAATAGGTTCGCCCATTCTTGCTTATTGAATAACAGTAACCACGTGAATAGTAAGAGGCATGTGATTAGGACCGGGGTATGACAAAAGAAACTACGAGTTAATAATGCATTATGTTACAATTATGTATAACCGCAATCTGGTTAAAATACAGATCCTATTTCGTTTCGTTTTTTACAGTTCAAAATTTCGGTTAATTTTCCTTCACTACAATAGGAGTGTGTGTGAAATAGCTTTATTTTACGTCGGTTTCCACCTAAGTGACATAGCAGACAAACTACACTAGGATCTGGAAGAGTTGTTATATAACCCACGTTCTGGTTGATGTGAGGGATTAGCCAATGAAACTGTCTTTTGTGGCGAGTTTTTGGCGTGCGGTGCACGCAACTGTGGGTAGACATTCGCAGTGACGAAAAAGCAAAAGTTGTATTTCCAAATTCTCTCTTTAAACACAAACACTGATTTGTTAATCAAATGTCTGACGTCATAGATCTTTTTGGTATAATCGAATCGAAGAGTGAATGTCAGCCAGTAAGTAAATCAACCACGGTATGACACTGGAAGACAATTCTGGCTGGACCCAGTCGCGCTCATCTCCGGTTAGTGAATGAAGACTGAGTGTGGGTTCGCACAGCTTGCTTCTATTCATAAAATCGTATGGACGAAGTATATGTATATAAGGCAGTTAAAGAGTTCATTGCAAGATCGCAGCAGTGCAAAATATACTTCGGCTAATTACACGTTGCCGTACTATGCCATGATCAGATTTTATATTTTTGAATATTATATCCGATGAAATTGTGAAATAACAGGATTTGAAATTTTTGTTCGATATGCTACGCCGAAGTGAACTGAGTTGTATTTTGATCTAATATATTTTAACTTCAGATTTCATCGTTTCTGCACCCGATTTACGAAATGTTTGCAGGTTCCCCCGGTGGAGAGAGCCCCTCGGACCGCCTTGGAGGCCCTGCCCCTCGGACGGACCAGCGGCCCTGGCTGGCCCGATCGAGACTAAGGCCAACCATTTATTAAAAGATATGGTTATTGTTGTCCGGCCGGCCGTATTTTTTAAGCCAAAAACGCAAACCCTACCGTTTTGCTCTATATCTCATGGCGTGGGTTTCTGCAGAAAAATTCCTTACAACAGTCCGAATCGGCGTGTTTTCTTCAGAAACTCAATCAGTAATTAAGCAATAGAAATGCTAGGAAATAATTAATAAACACTACCGTAGTTAAATCGACGCGACAAAGGCTAGAGCATTATGTACAGCGCACCGAATGCTTGGAATGAATTACCTACTACAATGAGAAATATTGAAAAATATGAGTCCTTTAAATCATTGCTGAAAACATTTTTATTTAAAGAGTATTACAATCAATTTTTAAATACTTAGCAATGTTAAAATGATTTACTTCAACTTCTACGCACAACTTTGTAAAGCGCGTTGATATATATTATTTGTATATTTTAAGCGCTACATAAGAGTGAATTATTATTATTATAAAATACACCGCGATGAGCGAGTGTTAGTATTTGTGTGTGGGGTGGGGGTGGGCGTTATTCGGGCAGTCCTACCCTTCTTTTGAATCCAAAATAACCGTAAACACAGGTATTATTATTTTGGCCTAACAAAAGCATACCCACGGTAATCAATAAGCCAGTCGCCTAGTAATAAACAGAAAGTGAAAGTGAATGTAGGGAAAGATGGATTCGGCTCAGGTAAGTTAAGATACTCAGATCTAAAAGCTAAATACAGAGGGATATGGAATGTGAACCCCTACCCAGCTGTCACGGACAGTAAACCGCACCCAGCCGTTATATTTTTCGTTGTTTACAGTAAACTTTACTTCCTTTTAAACGGTTATTTAACAGTAACGCAGTCAACATAGGTAGGTCCAGGATCCCGCTTTTGATTGAAAAAAAAAATTAATTTAAGGAGATTTTGAAATTGTGTTTAGTCCTTAATTAGCTATTAGTAGACTAATGATCTAGGTTTTCATTTAAAACATGTGGATTGCTTTTGATCCTTGTACGATTTGATAAACATTGGTTAACCGAAGTATTGTACTGAGGCGGGGAATCCCCTTAATATGGTGGCCTATATTGTGGTCATTATGTAGGGTGCCCCACCATAAATACATATCTCCAAATAGCTCGACAATTACACCACAATATATATATATATATATATATATATATATATATATATATATATATGCCAATCCTTAAATCTGTTTGGCACATTTATATTCACTAAATAAACGGCCATGGTGTACTTAATAAGCTATGACCATTTAACCATCGATAAATAATAGACTGAAAAATGGTGTCGTCCATAACATCCAGACACTTTTGAGCAAAAAATAGGTTTCGTGCCCTTGTTTTGAAATTAGTCTCGCTTTACCAGTCTATCGACCATTCTCCGTCTGATTGACAGACCGGGATAATTAAGACTACTTTTTTTTATGAAACATGACAGAAAGCTGGAACAAGAAATTGAATTTAGAAAAACGCACGGAAGGCAACTCAAAAAATGTTTTAAGAACCTTATAAAAGTTAAATGAAACTACTGCTAGTATCATGTTCCTGTCTAACCCGAGTTTTTCAGAGATATTATTTGTACTAAACCAGTTAATGATAGTTAATGATAAAGCAATTTAAAAAATAAAACGAATGTAATTTCTAAAGCTGCTGTAATAACCAAAAAGCTAAATATTACTGCTATTCAGAATCGTCAACAATAGATTTTTTACGGCTGTAATAGTTGATAGATGTGTTGAGATTTTCACGTGCATTATAGACTCAAAGAGAGTACGAGACTAGTCAGAAATCACTTCGAGACAAGTCACATTCACCGTTTCGAGTACCACTTTTAGTAGGGAAAATTTGGCACATGGGGTACCCAAATGTCATGTTATACAGTCCCACAAATTTCATAAACCGACTGCAACACGAGATCACGACGACATTATGCTCTAAACGTTTGTTTCTAGTCTACTCTGTGGATACTGGTGGAGGGGGGGGGGTTGAGACGTTTTATTAGCCCTTGCAAATTTGAATTCATTTTATCAGTTATTACTGATATTCAGCCCGTATAAAAAAAGCTTTTGTTTTTCAGAGCACGATTCATGTCTCCAACTGTCAGCTAATGCAGTTGGGCCGAGAAAACACTGTAATACATAATGGTGCATATACAAATGAATTAGAAAAATTAAAACAAGAACTTAACAGATTGAAAAGGGATGTCGAATTACTGAAAAATGCTGAACAAGGGAACCGATATGATATGAACGACCAATGTGTTCCTGATAATGAAGATGATTGGAGGTATGCGGATAGTAAAGAAGGCAGTGTGAGCTACCCGGATCCAGATAAAGATGTGTGTGAGACAGAACATTATGATGATGATGGTGCAGAAGATAATGTTGGTGAAGATTATGAAAATGATGAAAACTGTTCTGACCAGGAGAAGAACGATGATAATTCTACCGAGACAGAGAATAAGGTTGACGAAGATCCTGGGCAGCTGGGTGTCGTAAACGACGACAGTTCATACAACTGTCAGGATAGCGACGATGATTTGGAGGAAGAATATAATGTTACTGCCAAACATTTGATGATGCTGAGCCTGAAGAGATGCCGAAAACTGATTTTGAAAACTGTTGATTTAAATGATGGGTTGCCGTGTAACAATTTGGTGGAGGATGAACTGAAAGCTGTTACAAATGGCATAGACAGACTATGTCAAATGTTGAAGGCAACACAAGCTATAGAAAAATAGCCGGATAGCTGTAATGATAGCTGTAGTTGAAATTTTAATGATGCCGATTTGCATCCCTTCACTAACCAAATAAACGCCTTTAATTTTAATGAATTTTTAATTTCACATGCTTAATCTAGTTGGAGTTCCTACTTGGGTGTCCAATGTGATGAGGTATGTTCCCAAGTAATAACTTTTATAAGTGACATCAATTTACAAAATTGGGTTAATAATTGCGCTTTTTTGGTGGTGGGGTTTACCTTTTGTTTACGTTCTCCGCTGTCACTGTGAAATACCCTGTATCAGTGCTCACCCTAGGTTCCAATATTTTTGCAACACAAATTTATTTAAATTTCATACAATAAATTTTTTGATAATTGAATGCTTCATATTTGAAAGTGGTCTACGCTCAAAGGTTATAGATGTTTTACTCCAAATTGGGGTGTTTTTTTCAATTTTGTGGAGTTAGGGGCAATAACATACTTGATTAAAAACTGGAGAAACTTGGACGCATATTGGCAACTGCGCTTTTATTCATAGGCGTGTGGGCTGCTCGATGAACTGTTAGGGGAAGGGGTGGGGGGCAGAACCTGAAATGGCCGGAAAAATTTCGGGTTACAAGAGACGAAAGAGCGGGGCTTAACGTGTAGCGCCCCCCCCCCCCCCACTAAAAAAAGATAATTTGGAAAATTTGACGGCCGCAAATGCGTTTTCCCGGCGCAAATCGTGATAGTGGGAACTGAGCATTACTTACGAGTATGACGGTTGTATTAATATCTATTTTTATGGTAACACCTCACTGGTTTGCACGAGTAAAATGAATAATCAGACGTTTTATGCTCCTTAAATTTGGAAAATTTGACGGCTGCAAATGCGTGTTCCCGCTGTTCCATACCGTGAATACAGCAACTTCATAGTGGTCCAATATAGCCTACCTTATGTGGCTGAGTCGGATGCCAATCAACTCATCAACTCAACCAATCAATTGTTTACAGTACACGGAGATGGGGCCGTTGGGGGAATATTTAAAATATTTAACTGCTGTAAACGCGTTTTCTTGCTATTCCAGCTGGTGAATACGGCTAGTTGAGTGTGGTCCAATATAACCTACCTTACAATCAATCAGTCATTGCGGGGTGGGGGGGGGGGCTTTTTTCAAAATTCTACTGCCGCGAATGCGTTTTTCTCCTATTCTAACCCGTGAATTCAGCAACTTCAAAGTTTCCAAATAATAATCGATGCCCGAAAAATGCCGCACAAAGTAGTGTGGCTCCAGACAAAATGTTTTAATCCATAGTCAATTCAGTACAAATTCGTGGTATTCAATTAAAAGAAATGTAAAATTAGTTTTTTAATTAGATTTCGGGCACTTTATTTTGCCAACTAGAAGAAATAATACTTTTTGTTTTCCCTTTACCCGTCTGCCCGAAAAGTCCGATTTCCCGAAAGTTAGGGGGCCAGCCCCCCCCCCCCTCCACCCATCCTTCCCCCCTTGGCTCGTACGCCTTTTTAATGTTTAGGTATCAGAGACAGTAGTTTCCAAAAATATTGATGCATGACTCTTATCGGTCACTGAATCTTATGTTACCTGTTACTGGTTCCCTGGCTGTTAAAGGTGGGCGTTTGAGATTAGAATCTTGTGATGGGTCGAAACTTCCACTACAGTTCCCAGTCTGTAAAGACTTTACAAATCGGATATCTCCGATTTCATTTCGAAGTTTTAACTGAAATAAAAAAAAGTTCTAACTTTTGGCGGAGGTCTTCCTCGTTAGTGAATTTTGGGTTATCAAGACAGCTAATATAAATACCTTTGGACGTGTCACTATCACCACCGTATGCAGTGTGCTATGAGGGAAATTGTACCCGGACAGCGACACTACGGCTTACTCATATATCGAATTCCAACTGTTACGGGACCTCGGTTTTTCCCTTGCCAGGTCCCCTGTCCCGCAGCACTGACAAGGGGGATCCGTGCTGGAAAGTCCCGATGATCACCGGGATGAACACGCAACCTCCAGGTTAGCGAGCCAACGTACAACGTATTACTCACTGAACCACTGTTACCCCCTTCTCAAGCATAAATTAAAGTAGAAATAGTGTTATCAATTTATTAAATCCTCCTGCTTCCGATATTTGCATCTACAAACTTTGTGGATCTTAGACACCCCCCCCCCCCCACGTCCTCATTAACCCAGTCGGTGCAGTAAACTAGGACGTTAAACCCCATTTCATTTTTATCAAATACATTGGCTACCAAATTAACGTTTGTTTACACTAAGTGATGTTATAAGGACAAAGTTCGTGTCAGTCATTATCACATGTCATAGAATTGGTTAGGCCTACACGTTAGAAATATAATTTTAACACAGAGATCATTGCTACGATAGATGCGTTATGAAGATTTCAAGTGATGAACGCAAAAGGAAAACACGAGTTATCCTTCTATATAACTGACTGAAGTGACGAGTGATACCAGGTACACAGGCAAATTTCTGCTCACTAATAATTCCTTTGAACACCAAACGTTGTTATGTGAGGCTGTGAGGGGATATCTGATAATTCAAAAAAGTAATTGAATGTCACTGATATAAATTTATTGATCTGCATATTCAACATGGGCTTTTTAATGACGACAGATTATTCTGGCATGCCTAGATTTATTGTCGCTTTAAAACATTAAATAACATGAAATTGCCACTTTAAAAAAAAAAACAAGTCCAACAAGACAGGTTATTTCCAATCTGATTAAAACACAGATCTTATTTCGTTTCGTTTCGTTTTTTATAGTTCAAAATTTCGTTTTTACTTGTCTTTACTACACTAGGATCTGGAAGAGTTGTTATATTACAGGCCTTTTGGTTGAAGTGAGGGATAAGCCAATCAAACAGTCTGTTACGGCGATTTCTTGGAAACTGTGGGTAATTTACCAGAAACGTCACCGCTGATTGATTAATCAATGTCTGGCGTCATTGGGTCAAAAGTCGCTCGTACGACCCATGACACGACCTTTGAGTACAACCTGTCAGATTTCATGTAGTGTAGGCCATCGAAAGTATAAAAAAACGAAACGAAATATAGATCTGTATTTTAATCATATTGGGTTATTCTATGTCATAATTTACCTTTGGTATAAAGAGTATACAGAGTACAAGCGTCGTACAGAAGATCGTGAATACAGATGTTAGAACGAACATCAAGGTCGTCTGTTGAATGGACAAAACATGAGCTACTGGTACACCGAATGCACACACTACCACGATGTTATACACACAGAACCCAATAAGTTTGGAATCGTTGAGTGCCGGGATACTGACCATCCTGGTCTCCCATGCCAGGAACACACCGAACACCAGGAGCAAGCCCTTGTAGATGTACTCGGAAGCATACCAGTAAATGTCGTAACGGTGTTTGCACGCCGTGTAGATAAACGTTACGACATTATCCGAATCTGAATCCGCCTGAAAAAAAAGTTGTTGTTATTTCAATGAATTTGAGTAAGCAGATAGGATCATTTGTCTCTTAATAATCATATAAAATGCCGCAATATTTTGAGCAATCTTATACAAAAGAGATGATAAGAGAGAGAGAGAGAGATAGAGAGAGAGAGTGTAAACCCACGAGGTTCGGCAGGCGAACCTACTACTTGTCACGTACAAGTTGGGAATCGAAACCATGCCACTTGCCTCAATGATAGTCCTTGTTAAACCATTTGTTCACCCAACCATTCATGGTAACATGGACGAAGTGTCGACTGTCAAGTGATGCTGATACTGTCGGGTTTTCTCCGGTCTATATATATTGATATATTGTTATATAAAGATACATTATGGGAGATTTTTATAAGGAGTTAGCCATTCTTGCTATAACAGTTCAAAAATAGATGATGAAAGAAGAATATATTGAAACTTTCAGTCAAATTACTTTATTCTGAACATAGTTATCACCAATGTAATTTTTGACTAGAAATGGGACCGAATTCCATCTTCACCGATTCTTAGTATGGCCGATCATTTGATTGACAGGCGTTAACTCCACCTACATAATCTCTGGTGTCTTTTGTCTGCTGTCATCATATCCGAATTTGTGTTTTACCTTTTTGGATTTTTATAACATTTGGACAAAATGAGTGAGAGGGTAAATTTTCATTCTTACTTGTATTTTTGGCATGCATTAAATCAATTGAATATAGAACATAATATTATAATACAATTATGATAAATCTATAGGTAGGCTATACACCAGTGGCGTCGTGCCTTTTGGGGAAATAAAAATATTTTTATTGATATTATTAAGACAGAAGACCTGTCCGTAGTCATCACACGGTCTCCAGGAATGTATAATTTGTAATTATCTGTGTTTAGTTTATTGCACTTTAAATAGTTTAGATGTCATTTGTGAAGGCATCGCTCAAGAGCGGCCTCGTCTCGTACACTCTATCATTTACCCTCTATCCGGGAGTATGACGTCAACGTAACGGTTAATCTCTGCTCTCGACGCCATTTAAAATTACATCAGTCAACGAAATCCACGCTGAATCCAAGCCACCCGTGGGTCAACAGAGTTGATTTTGTGCTTGTTGTGTAAATAAAGATCTAATTTATAATTTCTATGACATCTGAAGCCTAGATAAAGACTTGCAATAATCAGACTTAGCTCTTGCATAATGTATGTTTAATGCATTTACAAAACCAAGATTATCTTTCTTTTGGAATACGGACTATTTCTTCCGATAGTTTAAACAATGTAGCGAACACAGATTTTATTTTTTAAAAAAAAGTTTACCTCTGATTTGATCTTTATTTCTTCTTTGTGTAAAGGGTGGAAGATCGTCCATGGTCCCAATATACATAAATCAACTAGTGTTAGAGCCAGTAACATACCTATTAGTTGATAATCTTTAATACACTGCAATACAAAATAGAACAACATCCTTAAGCCTCGTTCACAATCCGCCCTATCTCCGGTTGTCGTTCCTTATCAGTCCTTCCGTCCTCCGCCACTGACAAGGGGAAATCATGTTGGAAAATTAGATATTTTGAACGGATATTAAGCCATGTCATTCGGAACATAAATATAGATTCAGTCATATTTGATTATTTGCACTAATGTAATTATGCTATTTATACTAAATTCGAGTGACATCACATTGTGAACCAACGGGGTTTGGTGGCCGAATGGTTTGTTGCGTGTGCATTAGATAGTAAGTTCTGTCATTGAGTCAGGCGGCTTTGTTTCGATTTCCTGCTTGTAGGTGACAAGGAGTTGGATCACCTGTCCAACCTCGTGGGTTTGCTTCGGGTCCTCCGGTTTCTTCCCACTGCTAAAGACCCCTACGTACAAGTGAATTATGGAAATAAAATGGAAACATGTCAGTCCCAAAATGACCTAGTTTGTGTCCAGGGGACGTTAATATCCATTTCTCCCCGTGAATCTGTTTGAATTTACAAACCTGCTGTTGGAGATAATTCGTCCTCTAATCTGGATGCAGACCACCAACGAGGTGTCCTGTGTAATTTGAAAACAAAATGAAATGAATGGGGTTAAACAGCCTACTTTTATGCCCCATGTTAATTATCTTGAATCCAGGTCCTCCAGCCAGCGCCTTACCAACTAAACCACCGTGGCGCCTTATAACTCTGGAACTGAAGTCGCAGAATGCTGAATATTTATTGATTTCTTCCTCTCATGACCACAAAACTTCCTACCAAATTTGAATAGAATCCGTTAAAAACGACAAACCACTATCGCTTGTACACGGTTTTCGGCAAAGGGGGGTAACTCCAGAATTTTAAAAGGAAATGCTAGTTTTCTAGCTGTTTTACCTACCTTTTTCTTCAACGATGTTTCTCTGAATAAAATATGAACCCTCCATGTTTTCGAAAACAAGGCTCCAAACGCCAAAGTAAATCCCAATAGAGACAACCATAGTTTAACCTATTCAATACAAAATAAAAATTACTTTAGTTCCCAACAAAAATATTTATATGCCAAGATAGGCTAATAGCCCCATCTGCAACTCCATCGGCAAGCCCCCCCCCCCCCCCCCCATTGGAAATCTGACATTTGGTCCATAAACGAATATTTTTTGGGGCTGCCAGACTGTCCAGAATAACCGTAAGCATGCGATTAGGAATAGCATGATGGTATTTGAAAACAATGCAACTTTTTCGAATATGGGAGCACAATTCTGAAGGTGTCGCAGAGGGCCAACAATTTACTGATCCTTTGAAGGATCGAATAGCTCCCCTCGACCCCTACCCAACAAAATAAAAGTGATGTCCTACTTTTCTGAAGATAGCTAAATAGTTATCAGAGGCCAGGACGCCGTCTAAAGAATCGGACTAGAATTAAATAGTCTCAATGGTTATTTAGAGTTTCAAAAGTAATTAAACATACACAATGCAAAAGCTTAATCTGCCTAGTGCAGGTCTTTCCTTTTTGCTATTCGGCGTATCTCTTGTGTGGTACGTTTTATGTGGTTCATTCCCTAGTTGAGTATGAAATACCCGGGACTAAGTTCACAAATCATTTTCAGAATTAAGTTAAACATACATTTTGCAAGAGCCAAATCTGCCTATTGCAGGTCTTTCTTTAGGCCTGAAATTTTATCTAAATTATTAGACATTAATTAACTTATCCAGACCATAATCAACTCTCGATGTCATCGCTAGCCTGCGATATTTATGGGATTAGGATCCGATTTGCTGCTCAACTTTCATTCATGATTAAATCATGAAATGGATAATCGAGACTATGTTTTTTATCGTATCGACTTTAGTAATGATGATCGAGGCTAGGCCGAGGCTAAAGTGGATCAATTTAACTGAAATTGTCATCAAATTCCCTTTACATTATCTAGTTGTAAACTTTTATAGTGAGATCTGTCAACTCTTCATGTAATCTCCCATAATGTATCTATAACTTACCATACATATATTTTCATCAAAATGTTTACTACCAAATCTAGCATAATCCATGGTATTAACATAAACAGCGACAAACATGACCAGACCCCCAAGTATAATAACATTGTTGATATACGGACTCGACATCTTAATATGTCTGCAAAACATAAAAAATAATATTTATATTTTATTATATATCTTTGAAAAGATTCACTTTCAAGATCAGTATCACTAAATACAGTAAAGTTCGACTCCAGTTTTGGAGCAGAACAGTAGGACGTTAAACCCAATTTCATTTCATTGAATTTTCCCACTTTTCTACACCAATCGGGCTACTGAAGATAGGCATACGCTATGCAGAGTGATATGATGAACATTTTCAATGTTCCATGGCATTTCTTCATTGAATTTTGACCATAAAGGATTATTTTATGTGCACGCCAATGTGTACACGGGGGCTTGTTTTTTGTCCCATCTACACAACTAGACACTGATCTTTGCCAGGCCCTTTGTCCTGCACTATCGACAGAGAGAAACCACGCTGCAAAATCCCGGGAACATTCTTGACACACCAGGATCAGTGCACATAATCATAGTATTGAGAGGAATATGGCCGACAACCAAACAACCCGATATCACGACATTTTAACCCGACAATACGATATTTTACGCGACATTACGACATTTTTAATGTCGTGGCATCGGGTGAAAATGTCTTATTGTCGGGGTAACATTTCGTTTTGTCGTGTTAAAATGTCGTGGTGTCGGGTTAGAATGTCGTGATGTCGTGGTGTCGCCGTTCATAAGGCGACAACCCCATATCACCATATGATACCAATCAACCAATATACCAAACAGCGCCTAGTCGTTCGGAACAGCGTCTAGTCGATATGGAAGAAAAATGGTGTGTACAGGCCTTTGTACTTACCTATTATTTCTATAGATAGTATTAAATGCGAGGAAAACAAATGCTATAATAACGCCTATAGTATTACTGAATAATACACAGTATACAGCTGTTACATCATACGGTTCATAAATCTCTACGTAAATAAATCTGTCTCGCGGAGCCGGCCGTCCTGGAAATAAAATAACATAAAAAGATAATTAACTACTCATCAAATTGGAGTCTAACCCATTGACCACGCTAGAACCAGACTGTTCTTTGTCTACAAAAGTAATTTCCGAGAAAATAGGGTTTTAAGTGCCAGAACTGCAGGACTTCTCGGTATTCAAGTGAAGTCAAACGGAAGTCGGTGGTATTACTATAATTTGTCTAACTATGCTCAATCCAATTATATCATTCTGCTCACAGTTTGGCTCCATTCCTGCTTGAAATAGACCAATTATCTATGCTAAATATTAATGATGTCATTTTTGGTACCAGTCTGTTCTAGGTGCTTAAACATTAGAATATAGAACAATATGATGTTCTCATATCAAATTTATAATTTAAAAAGGAGTTTTAACTGTGATCCTTAAATTCTCTGATCGTCGTTTGCATTATTCGAACGGCTTAATCCATGCCAAGATATATCCAATACTCGCGGTTCGGATTCCATAGGATCTAAAGATTTTAAATAAAGATAACTGTGGTTTTAGAGATTGATGCTGGACTATTTCGTAAGATTTTCGTATTTAATTATTAAAATGTTTGGTTAATAAGTTTAATGTTTACCGTCAAATAAAGCTGTAGCTGACTGAAACCAGGTGATGCGATCATCTCGGGGATCATAGGATGCCTGGGTCGTTTTAGAATCATCTAAAATATAAATAAACGAAACTAAAATCGATCATACATATTTACTGATTACTCAGACCAATAACTGACACCACTTCCTGTAATAATATTATGGCCTTGACAAATTATTCTCCATTGTCAGTATTTTAACTATGGAATGAGTTTATTTTAAAATATTGTGACAATAACAGGATATGGGGCCTAAGGCCAAGAATAAATTCTATTGTCTATAACACTTATGTGAGGAATATTCCATTGTCCGATTAAGGATAGTATTCACGTTATTAGGCTTAGTAACCAATCAACATACACTGTAACCCAGGTATCATTTTAATCTTGTGTATCTAGCACCCAATTTCTTTCACATTCGTTTAATATCAAATCTTTGTTTAAAAATTCGCAAAAATCGTTTAAAATCACCAAAAATCATCTAAATTGTACTTTTGTCCAGTTTAAAGCTAATAATGAGTGTTCAATTTTCAAGTATTTAATTTCCTGACCACTGTTCAAAAATGAATCATTATACATCATTAATCAATTGGGTTGTTTATTTTTTAACAGTGATTGAGAAATTAAACACTTTTAAATTGGACACTCATTATCAAAATTGAATGGTCAGCTTTAAACTGGACAGAACTACAAATTAAATGATTTATGGTGATTTTAAACATTTTTTTTGAATTTTTAAACAAAGATTTGATATTCACTAATTTCTTTCACATTCGTTTAATGTCAAATCTTTGTTTAAAAATTAATTAATCACGTAATTTGTGACCAATTAAATAATGGATATCAAAAGTCAAGGCATATAAAATACTTGCGTTCTTTAGACAACCATGTAAATTCTGTCTGGGGAAAATGTAAAAAGTTCTATCAGCAAACTCGCACTAGCGAATGACTTTATTTTTGTTCTATGCTTGTAACCTATGTATCCAGTGCTTGCCATAAAATGTAGAAACGACCCGTGACATTGTTATTTCTGTGTACAACCATAAACTAAATAAGGGGAGAATAGCTAACGTGGGATGTCAGAGTGGCATTTAAATAAACGTCTTAACGGCGGAGAAAGAAATAAGAAACAAAGAGAATAAGAAACAAATACAATCCGAGACAATACTAGACGACCACAAGACTAATAAAATATTTAGCAGAGAACGGAGTGTGCGTCACACGTTGGATGCGGGGAGTTTCGGGACTGTGCTTTCCAGCGACTCATAGAACTGCATCGTATGACATATTGGATTTGGTTGCCGAACTGTGCATAGTGCTACATTCCGTCATTTATAGGGACTAGCCTATGGTCACGCGTCCAATGCCCGGGAGATAATTTTCAACGGAGCTCAACCGCTTAGCCGTTTTTCTGTTCTACCTGAACTTCTAATGTGTCATCGGATACTGCGAGCCACCTCTCCACTCCTGAAATCACGTGGGCAATTCTTATCAGTCATGGAGGTTTTGAGCTTGAACAGCCCCGATGGTTCGATTTGTAGTGCCGGACCAATAATGAAATGAAATGTGATTGAATGTCATTCTCTTATGCACCAGGATACCCCCTACTTCTCATCGAATTCCAAGTGTCAAGGGTTCTTTTACGTACACGCCAACTGATGGACCTATGGATTTTGTTGTCCCACCCGCTTTTTCTCGCTAGGCCTTGCAGCATCAGTGACAACGGGAAAACTAGTCTGGAAAATCACAAGTGAGCCAGTTAGTGAGTCTGCGCCACCTTCAATAGAAGGCTTGATCTCGCTTTAACTATGTACATCTCATCAAGGCGTCCACGTTATACCCTGCATATTTCGGCATATTTCAGCACTGTGTATTCACACAGTTTTAGAGCCTATCAGATTCCTCGATCATCGCGCTTTCAAGTTAAAATGTCTACTTGTGATAATCGAGTTGCAAAATTCAAGGTTCGTTCAATGTCAAGGTTTCCGTGGAGGTCGCTATGTCACAACCTCTTATTGGACGCCACTGCGTCTGCAGATAACTAGCTGTAAGTTCGGGAATTGTAAAGTAATCTAGCAACGTCCAGATGTTGTAAAACTCGCAGTCGTTGCCTCAGGAACATGGAGCCACCGTTGCTCCGGGTCAGTGGGAAGACCAATATTTGGGTTGCTAATACTTACTGTGATTATATTCTATATAGGCTATACCAACTCTACCACCATCATTAGTGAACGACACAGGACCCTGGGGGAAATTCATAAAATAAAATTATATTGATGCAAATAATATATATAGATTTATTATTTTCGAGTAGCCTCGGTCTCGATACATTGCATGTCCTATTTCGTTATGTTATTTATAGTTTAAATCAGTATTTAGTTATTATTATAAGTAATGAGTAAGTTCGGTTTAAGACGAGTGATCTGCCCCTGAATCGGATTCAGACCAGTTATATTAAAATCTCGCTCATTTAGTCACAGTGTAATATGGAAATAGATTTCCTACGTTACAAGCGCCTGTAATACACTAGAGATAAGAAATGGCGATTACTAATTTTACATACCGAAACTCCATTAAAGCTGACATCTTCGATTGACGACCTCATATATTCTAAGGTTAGGCTATCGTTGTAATTAAACATGGCCAGAGATTTGTTTACATTTTGTAGTTTATCCTCAGTGGCATTCAAAGAGAGAGCCACGGCGTAGGCAGCATCGTAGGCCCATGGATGACTCCTCGATATTAAGAATTCTGTTTGGTCGGCCATATTGTTTAGGAGATCGTTGTATTCTTGAGGCGTCTAAAATGAAATCAGTCATGTAAATTATTAAAAGTTAACAAACCAGTTCAATTTTGTGGAAATGAAATGAAATACTACGCACCAACCGGATAAATGAAGATGGCGAAATACTACAGTGGATATTCTTAGGGATATATTACGTTGACAGCGGCGTTTCTACCCACCCATCCCCGTGGGCTGAGGATTAACAGGTTCTATGTCCACATTTTTTTACATTGAGAAAAATGGGTGTAAAGTTTTGAATTTTTAAAAAAAAATGTTCACAGTTGTGGAAGCAATCAATATAAGAAGCTAGCAGAGTGTGTGGTGTTTCTCAATGCAGTGTGAATCAAATTGGTCTAACAGAAATACGATAAATGGCGATAGGACATTGTGGTTTACAAAATGTTATGAATTTGTCAGGCACAAGGAGATAGAACTGTGTGCCTCAAGAATCACATAGTTTTAAAAGAGGTATTTTTCATGTGATATGTATCTCATTTTGAAAACACGTGATTTTATGTGACGGTAGCAATGGCGTATGTACGTCATTGGGCAGAAGTGTATTATTCGAGCTAACATTCGTTTGCCTGCGTTACCATATTCCTCGTCTGCGGTGTTTTTATGTGGCGCTAGACTTATTGTTAGATCTAAAACATTCGTTTATCTGGGGACAACAAAATCAAAAATATTTATTCGGTGTTTTTGTTCGTCGACATAAATGTTCCATCGACTTCGCTAGACATTAAAAAAAATAATATTATTCTTTTATTTACACTACATATACCTACTTGCAACATATACATTATTATACTGTTGAAGATGGGCTTTATTCGCGAAAACCTTTCATTGGATGGGGGTTAAAATCCTAGAACAAATTTGAGTTCTTAGCCAATGAAAATACTGCATTCTTAAAATATTTTTTGTTTAAGCTTCCTTGAATATTGCCCCAGGTTTTGAAAACGTTTGCAGTAACAATGAATATGACGTTTATAAAATTGGATAAACTACTCCAATAAGTCAGATTGGCTTCTACGTAATTTCTTTTATGAGACGGATAGAATCCATGACGTATAATATATAATACATTAACGTCATAGGGTAGGATCCTGTCTAAATATAAATCTTACTACTGAATAAAAATTTACCCGGCCCATAAATGTCACTTCTTCTGATTCGCTTAGTCGTTTGTGGTCGATGCTTATGTAACCTTTGGCAGCTTCATAGAGTTCCTCCTGACTGCAGGGGTAGGTGCTGGGGTCCGTGGTTTTGATCCAGTTGTCGTACATGGCAGATCCAGTTAAAATCCAAACATATTTCTTTCCAAAAAGCTTCTGTTTATGCGCCTGAAGTACAAATTAAATATTAATCAACACAAATGTAAGCAATGTGATAAGGTCATGATAATTCATCCAAAGCTATCGGTTTACCAGAATCGTCATTTGGAAACTTCTAGAAACCATGGAAAATTTTGGCAACAGTGTTTAGAAATAATTAGTAGGTTCTAGAGGGTTCTAGAAAAAAGTTGTAAATTTTCGGAAAGTTGTGGAGAATGTTCCAGAAAGTTCTAGAATTTCCTAAAACCATATAATCCAGACCAGACCTATCCCAGGGAATGACTTTCTCAGCACTTCGTGCAGAAATTCCACAGAAGATCTGTCTTAGCACTTCGTAAGTTTCTGTTTGACCAACGAGGTCTGTGTTCTTGAGTTATTTCCATTTCGAGCTGTTGCACTTATGGTGCCGTTTCGAGAGAAATTATCTCTCTATTTTAAATTGTGCTGTTTTGAGAGAGTTCATGTTTCGGTTTTAATCCAAGTTTAGGATAATTGCTGTGGATTATTACCACCCCGGATTATTATTCATCCTGTCAAGATCCTGTGTAATTCTGGCAACTTTGGAATTACTACGGCAACGCCGAGAAGACAGCTGTAAAGGACTGTTGACAAATTACTACTTCAAAGTAGTAGAAGCAACGACTTCAACGGAATACTGATAAAATTTGACTGAATACTGAGAGAGAGAGAGAGAGAGAGAGAGAGAGAGAGAGAGAGAGGGGGGGTAACATCCACTCAACACAAACTAGGTCATTTCGGGACTAACATATGGTTCAGTTTTATTTCAATAATTCGCTTGCGCGTAGGGGTCTTCGGGTCTTTAACATTGGCAGGAAACCGGGGAAACCGGAGAAAACCCACGAGGTTGGACAGGCGATCCTACTCCTTGTCACGTACAACCGCGGAACGTACAACGTCAGTTGACTCAATGACAGACCTTATGATACAGCGCGCACGTGCTACCCATGTAGCCATCCAACACCCCCTGAATACTGTGAATAATCGTGTATATTGATTGTGGTCAGCGCTATGTTAATCCGTACTTATACTCATTTGTCCCAATATCATTTTATCATTTGTATATGTTATTAAATCCATTGTTGTGTAGATTTGTCTGATCGAGGTATGGGGTGGATCGTGATTCTGTAAACTACAATCGATACTCGGAGATTATAACACGCGAAAAGTTCAGAACGAAATCCAATTAATTTTACTGACCTAATTAATAAGTATTCTGTCTTTTTACAAAGTTAAAATTTACGAAAACAAGACGAAGTAATTATGTATACCAGAGAATACAAAGTCATTAGTAGTCTGATTCCAAACTTTTATCTTTTAATTCCGCATCTGGTTTTGTTGTGTTAGGTCCGTTTTCCGTGTGAGTCTTTTTTGCGTCTCTGCGTGTTAAAAAGTCGGTCTAATGCTAATGTAATGGGGCCTTTTCCATGTAACTGGTGAAACCGCACGCGGAAGCGCCACGAAAACGAGTACATGGAAAACTAGGTCATTTCGGGACTAACATATGGTTTAATTTTATTCAATAATTCGCTTGCGCGTAGGGGTCTTTAGCAGTGGGAGGAAACCGGAGGACCCGGAGAAAACCCACGAGGTTGGACAGGCGACCCTACTCCTTGTCACGTACAACCGGGGATTCGAAACCAAGCCAGTCGACTCAATGACAGACTTTATGATACAGCGCGCACACGCTAACCATTCAGCCATTACACGGAAAACGGGCCTTAAATCGCCCTGCTAGCGAGAGTAAGCAGCATAGTAGTAAATATAATTTACTGAATATATTTTGTTGACATATTAAAGGAACTAAATCTTCTTTTTTGGTAACTAGAAATGGGCACAAATGGGTCGCAACGCATATAATAATGTAGTATGAATGTATATAAACTGATTTACATTCAATCGTTTCTGTTTTTACTGTAATTTCTAATCAGTTATGTTCAGCGAAATACGCGAAGAGTCCATATTGAATGGCAGTCTTTGGCGTCTGGTTATTCAAATCTAGCCGGCTAATGTTCTCCTGTGGGGTATGTTTAGCCTCGTTCATCGATTTTCTTCATTCGTGTGCCAACACTGTTAAAAATAATAAGGAAGTTTACACCAATTCATAAGGAAACTAGCTGCCACCTAAATAGGGGTAACTCCTAGCCTTTAGTGGTGTAAACCGATAGCACCCAACTAGTGTAGACCATTACACCAATTCAGGTGGAAACTAGTTGACACTTCCAGTAGTGTAACCTACCTGATACATTACATGTACATTCGCATGAGTATTGCACCCAGGCAGTGTAATGTTACTCAATTGTAAATTACACTTCCATTTTAATTATTACACCAAAGCGGGTGTAATTTGTTTTGTTGAAAACACTCTTGTAGAACATGGTAGGGTTGGATATATATTTCAAGCCAACGACTTCTAAGTTCAGAAAACTTGAAATTGTCCATAGGCCTCTATGATAATTAGTATAAGTATAGGGCGTTTAGCCCGATCCAGACTACACATAGACCTTCGGCTACTTCGCTTCATTTTACAACGAGATTAAATTGACAAATATCCATCAGACTGATTCAAATTCAACTGTTGTTGAGCAATTAGACAATCTGCATCAATTTACAATGAATATAAATCATGAGGAAAAATCATTACACATATTCTTACAACTTAACTGAATAATGTGGTTTATTCATTTATGCACCTCATCTGAATTAAGAATAATTAAGATAAAGTAGTTTGTAATATTTTAAGTTTAAAAAAGCTATATACTTGAGGCGTTATGAAAAATGTATTAAGATCAATATACATGATAATATTCTGGAAGTCCTATATTCGTTACGAGCAAAAACTCTAAAATTATTTATACCTGTGTTACTAATGCAATTAACCCAATATTTTACAAAACACTCAAATTGGAGTATACAAACACTTGGGAACGCAAGATACGGTGTAAAATTGATACCTTATTCGGAGACTGTGGATGGTATCGAGTTAGAGACTTGCCTTCTTTAAACCCAATTCCCAGTAAGTTTATAAATGGGGTCATTGTAGCACTATGCAGAGTTCGGCACCCAAATCAAAGATGTTCATACGATGCCGTTCTATGAGCCGTTGGTTAAATGTGGAAAGTACAATTGCCCGAAAACTCCCCACATCCAACTGTGACGCATATGCTCTCCCCTTCTTCATATTTTATTAGCCTTGCGATCGTCTAATATAGTGTCTGGCTGTGTTTGTAATTCTTAAACTAGTTAGTTCGTATCTAGTATTGTGTCTGGCTGTATTTGTAATTCTTTAACTAGTTAGCACGTATCTAGTATTGTGTCTGGTTGTATTTGTAATTCTTTAACTAGCCAGGACGTATCTAGTATTGTGTCTTGTTGTATTTATAATTCTTTAACTAGTTAGGACGTATCTAGTATTGTTTCTGGTTGTATTTGTAATTCTTAAACTAGTAGGGCGTATCTAGTATTGTGCCCAGTTGTATTTGTAATTCTTTAACTAGTCAGGACGTATCTAGTATTGTGTCTTGTTGTATTTGTAATTCTTTAACTAGTTAGCACGTATCTTTAAATGTTTCTTTAACATATCACGTTGCGTTTATCTGTTTATCCGTCCCCAAAATATCGTATGATTAACAAACAAGATGACAGGAACAAAAGAACG